GGAAAAATGGCCATTTTTGGACCAAAACCATGGGTTAACCCCTTTGGAAAAATGTCAATTTTTCTACTTTTTGAACTTTTTGTTTTTATAGGCTTGAAAGGCGTTTTTTCGTTCTAGAATATCGTAAAAGACATTTTCCTGGCCTATATTGCCTTAAAAAAAAAGTTGGAAAAATGGCCCTTTTTGGACCAAAACCATGGGTTAACCCCTTTGGAAAAATGTCAATTTTTCGACTCTTTCAACTTCTTGTTTTTATAGGCTAGAAAGGCGTTTTTCGTGCTACAATATCGTAAAAGACATTTTACTGGCCTATATTGCCTTTAAATAAAAGGTGGAAAAATGGCCATTTTAGATTAAAACCATGGGTTAACTCCTTTGGAAAAATGTCAATTTTTTCACTTTTTGAACTTCTTGTTTTTATAGCATAGAAAGGCGTTTTTTCGTTCTAGAATATCGTAAAAGACATTTTCCTGGCCTATATTGCCTTTAAGAAAAAGTTGGAAAATTGGCCAATTTTGGACCAAAACCATGGAAAAATGTCAATTTTTCGACTTTTTGAACTTCTTGTTTTTATAGCCCACTTTGAACTTGTTGTTTTAATAGCCTAGAAAGGCGTTTTTTCGTTCTAGAATATCGTAAAAGACATTTTCCTGGCCTATATTGCCTTTAAGAAAAAGTTGGAAAATTGGCAAATTTTGGACCAAAACCATGACTTTTTGACTTTTTGAACTTCCTGTTTTTATAGCATAGAAAGGCGTTTTTTCTTTCTAGAATGTCGTAAAAGACATTTTCCTGGCCTATATTGCCTTTAAGAAAAAGTTGGAAAATTGGCCATTTTTGGACCAAAACCATGGGTTAACCCCTATTGCAAAAATGTCAATTTTTCGACTTTTTGAACTTCTTGTTTTTATAACATTAAAAGGCTTTTTTTCGTTTTAGAATATCGTAAAAAACATTTTCCTGGCCTATATTGCCTTTAAAAAACAGTTGGAAAAATGCCTATTTTTGGACCAAAACCATGGGTTAACCCCTTTGGAAAAATGTCAATTTTTCGACTTTTTGAACTTTTTGTTTTTATAGGGTAGAAAGGCGTTTTTTCGTTCTAGAATATCGTAAAAGACGCTTTCCTGGCCTATATTGCCTTTCAAAAAAAGTTGGAAAAACGGCCATTTTTGGACCAAAACCATGTGTTAACCCCTTTGGAAAAATGTCAATTTTTCGACACTTTGAACTTGTTGTTTTTATAGCCTAGAAAGGCGTTTTTTCGTTCTAGAATATAGTAAAAGACATTTTCCTGGCCTATATTGCCTTTAAGAAAAAGTTGGAAAATTGGCCAATTTTGGACCAAAACCATGCGTTAACCCCTTTGGAAAAATGTCAATTTTTCGACTTTTTGAACTTCTTGTTTTTATAGCCTAGAAAGGCGTTTATTCGTTCCAGAATATGGTAAAAGACATTTTCCTGGCCTAAATTGCCTTTAAAAAAAAGTTGGAAAAATGGCCATTTTTGGACCAAAACCATGTGTTAACCCCTTTGGAAAAATGTCAATTTTTCGACACTTTAAACTTGTTGTTTTTATAGCCTAGAAAGGCGTTTTTTCGTTCTAGAATATCGTAATAGACATTTTCCTGGCCTATATTGCCTTTATGAAAAAGTTGGAAAATTGGCCAATTTTGGACCAAAACCATGGGTTAACCCCTTTGGAAAAATGTCAATTTTTCGACTCTTTCAACTTCTTGTTTTTATAGGCTGGAAAGGCGTTTTTTCGTTCTAGAATATCGTAAAAGACATTTTCCTGGCCTATATTGCCTTTAAAAAACAGTTGGAAACATGCCCATTTTTGGACCAAAACCATGGGTTAACCCCTTTGGAAAAATGTCAATTTTTCGACTTTTTGAACTTCTTGTTTTTTCGTTCTAGAATTTTGTAAAAGTTTTTTCGTTCTAGAATATCGTAAAAGACATTTTCCTGGCCTATATTGCCTTTAAGAAAAAGTTGGAAAATTGGCCATTTTTGGACCAAAACCATGGGTTAACCCCTTTGGAAAAATGTGAATTTTTTTGACTTTTTGAACTTCTTGTTTTTATAGCCTAGAAAGGCGTTTTTTCGTTCTAGAATATCGTAAAAGACATTTTCCTGGCCTATATTTCCTTTAAAAAACAGTTGGAAAAATGGCCATTTTTAGACCAAAACCATGGGTTAACCCCTTTGCAAAAATGTCAATTTTTCGACTTTTTGAACTTCTTGTTTTTATAGCATAGAAAGGCGTTTTTTCCTTCTAGAATATCGTAAAAGACATTTTCCTGGCCTATATTGCCTTTAAAAAAAAGTTGGAAAAATGGTCATTTTTGGACCAAAACCATGGGTTAACCCCTTTGGAAAAATGTCAGTTTTTCGACTTTTTGAACTTCTTGTTTTTATAGCATAGAAAGGCGTTTTTTCTTTCTAGAATATCGTAAAAGACATTTTCCTGGCCTATATTGCCTTTAAGAAAAAGTTGGAAAATTGGCCATTTTTGGACCAAAACCATGGGTTAACCCCTTTGGAAAAATGTGAATTTTTTTGACTTTTTGAACTTCTTGTTTTTATAGCCTAGAAAGGCGTTTTTTCGTTCTAGAATATCGTAAAAGACATTTTCCTGGCCTATATTTCCTTTAAAAAACAGTTGGAAAAATGGCCATTTTTAGACCAAAACCATGGGTTAACCCCTTTGCAAAAATGTCAATTTTTCGACTTTTTGAACTTCTTGTTTTTATAGCATAGAAAGGCGTTTTTTCCTTCTAGAATATCGTAAAAGACATTTTCCTGGCCTATATTGCCTTTAAAAAAAAGTTGGAAAAATGGCCATTTTTGGACCAAAACCATGGGTTAACCCCTTTGGAAAAATGTCAGTTTTTCGACTTTTTGAACTTCTTGTTTTTATAGCATAGAAAGGCGTTTTTTCTTTCTAGAATATCGTAAAAGACATTTTCCTGGCCTATATTGCCTTTAAAAAAAAGTTGGAAAAATAGCTATTTTTGAACCAAAACCATGGGTTAACCCCTTTGGAAAAATGTCAATTTTTCGACTTTTTAAACTTCTTGTTTTTATAGCCTAGAAAGGCGTTTTTTCGTTCTAGAATATCGTAAAAGACATTTTCCTGGCCTATATTGCCTTTAAAAAACAGTTGGAAAAATGGCCATTTTTAGACCAAAACCATGGGTTAACCCCTTTGGAAAAATGTTAAGTTTTCGACTTTTTGAACTTCTTGTTTTTATAGGCTAGAAAGGCGTTTTTTCGTTCTAGAATATCGTAAAAGACATTTTCCTGGCCTATATTGCCTTTAAAAAAAAGTTGGAAAAATGGCCATTTTTGCACCAATACCATGGGTTAACCCCTTTGGAAAAATGTCAATTTTTCGACTTTTTGAACTTTTTGTTTTTATAGCCTAGAAAGGCGTTTTTTCGTTCAAGAATATCGTAAAAGACATTTTCTTGGCCTATATTGCCTTTAAAAAAAAGTTGGAAAAATGGCCATTTTTGAACCAAAACCATGGGTTAACCCCTTTGGAAAAATGTCAATTTTTCGACTTTTTGAACTTCTTGTTTTTATAGCCTAGAAAGGCGTTTTTTTGTTCTAGAATATCGTAAAAGACATTTTGCTGGCCTATATTGCCTTTAAAAAAAAGTTGGAAAAATGGCCATTTTTGGACCAAAACCATGGGTTAACCCCTTTGGAAAAATGTCAATTTTTCGACTTTTTGAACTTTTTGTTTTTATAGCCTAGAAAGGCGTTTTTTCGTTCTAGAATATCGTAAAAGACATTTTCCTGGCCTATATTGCCTTTAAAAAAAAGTTGGAAAAATGGCCATTTTTGGACCAAAACCATGGGTTAACCCCTTTGGAAAAATGTCAATTTTTCGACTTTTTGAACTTTTTGTTTTTATAGCCTAGAAAGGCTTTTTTTCGTTCTAGAATATCGTAAAAGACATTTTCCTGGCCTATATTGGCTTTAAAAAAAAGTTGGAAAAATGACCATTTTTGGACCAAAACCATGGGTTAACCCCTTTGGAAAAATGTCAATTTTTCGACTTTTTGAACTTCTTGTTTTTATAGTCTAGAAAGGCGTTTTTTCGTTCTAGAATATCGTAAACGACATTTTTCTGGCCTACATTGCCTTTAAAAAAAAGGGAAAAATGGCCATTTTTGGACCAAAACCATGGGTTAACCCCTTTGGAAAAATGTCAATTTTTCGACCTCTTGAACTTCTTGCTTTTATAGCCTAGAAAGGCGTTTCTTCGTTCTAGAATATCGTAAAAGACATTTTCCTGGCCTATATTGCCTTTAAAAAAAAGTTGGAAAAATGGCCATTTTTGGACGAAAACCATGGGTTAACCCATTTGGAAAAATCTCAGTTTTTCGACTTTTTTAGCTTGTTGTTTTTATAGCCTTGAAATGCGTATTTTCGATAAGACATTTTCCTGGCCTAAAGTGCCTAAAATAAAGAGATGAATAAATGGACAATTTTTGACGAAAACAAAAACAATGGAGTAACCCCTTTGGAAAAATCTTAATTTTTCGACTTTTTCAACTTCTTGTTTTTACAGCTTAGAGAAACGTTTTTTCGTTCTAGAATATCGTAAAACACATTTTCCTTGCCTATATTGTCTAGAAAATAAAAAAAAAACGCCGTTGTAGGCTGTAAAACAAGAAGTTGAAGAAGTTTTAAACTGGTAACGTTTTAAGGATAGTCCATGGTTTTGGTGAAAAATTCGAATTTTTTTTTTAAGGTGTAGTTTGTCGTGGAAAGATGTTTTTTCGAGGAATTTTTCATATGTGCTGACAATGTGATTGAGAAAGATCGTCATTTTTTTGTTTTTTAAAGGACTTGCTATTTCTCATTGACGGTAACCTTATACCAAGGGCTTCTCTTTTGGAAAATGAAAGGTGCGCATCAATTTTCATTTGGGCAATTTCATAATGCAAGGTTACGTAGTTGTCAATGACTTTATTTAGCAACATTTAGTCGTCATAATCCAGCATGCGTCGTGATTGATTATTCTTCGAATGTACTTCAGCTGATATGACCCCTGCAATTAGTGAAAAAATATATAAAATATACAAATAAATAAGCATGCAACGGAACTCAGGAAATATATTTGGAGCTTGACAGATAATCGAAGAACGTAAAATATACTATCAAATGGCGCAAAGTAAAGCAAGCAAAATCGTATACAAACGTCACCAAAAAATTTGTGCTTGTGGGAGAAATATTTAACAATTTCTAAACCAGCAATGGATGCCCTGAACAACAGAAATGAACTAATCTCTGGTTGCAGACACTGAAAGAAATTTCTACTGAACACTGTGTAAGCATGTTGTAAGCGTCACTTAACTAGCGGTATGACGCACCACGCATTATACGCCACGCGCCACGCCTAGTATTTAGTGTTCTGTTTTCCCTATATCTTTGATTGTAACCGTTACTTTTGGCAGTTGCCTGATGATTGCTTCGCAAGAGGCATGAAACTCTGAGTAGCAATAAATGTTCAAGATTTAGTCCAGTTCCATCAGTCTACTTGTATTCTTCTCTAGTTCAACTATTGCACACTGTATTTTAGTCGATGAGGACATCAGTCTGGTACTTCGTTAAATAAATAATCACAACATACACAAAGCGTCTGGGTAATACAACAATATAGCTCATGCACACGCTGCACCTCTCTCAACTGAGTGACAAAAACAAAGACGAGGGTATAGTTTTTACAACTCTTTGCGTAAAGGTAGGTTATTCCTTGGGTCAATTTTTCAATTCAAGTTATTAACTATAGCAATTTTCTAATACTTGGAGAAATCGTTAATGCCATGTAAATGCATATTCACAAACCTGTTTTTTTATGGATCCATCCACAGAAAACAAGCAGAATAAGAATACTGAGTACAAAGATAGCAATCGTTGTGCCTAACAGTATAATGATCAATCCACTGCCTGCAAGAAAACAAACGAAGAGATATTGTGAATACCAGTTAGCATCAGGAGCCCGCATAACCATAGGCTTGTGTCAGTAGGCTACTGTCAACTGTCTCAAAGACAGACACCTTTGGACCGTCACTATAACCCTCTAAGTCCCAATATCCACATACAAATTCTCCAAACCAATCTCCATACATTTCCTTGAAGAATTAGTTAAGAGAATTTGGTAAAAGATCAAATATTTTTCTCTTTGTGATCATTTTGTTAATTCTCATAGACTTTGCTCATGATAGTCTTTGGATATCGTTAGAAGAAAATTGATTTTGAGCACTGTTGGGACTTAAAGGGCTAAACGCCCGTCTAAGTGTGCGGTCCGTCTTATAGAGAGTGAAATAAAGGAAGTAAAGCTGAAAGGCAGGCCCAACTCTAGGTGCCCGTTTCACCGAGGTATCCGTTATTAAAGGGAGAGTCGTCTGTATGCCATATTCTTGCTACTCACGCTTCATTTTCTGGGCACTGTTTACTCCTACGTCTATGTTTCCTTTACTTAAAGCTGCAATAAAACAGAAAGTTTTGTCAAGTGAGCCTTTACATAGACACGATACATAACGCCAATGATGTGAGGGCAGGTCAAGCTAACCATAAGATCTACTTACAATTGAAATAATGACCGGGAACGGTTCCATGAATTATTTGTAGCCTCTCAATATTTGTACATTTTAAATGAGGAGAGGCAGATACCTCCCAACCACTTAAGTAAACATTATAAGCCAAGAATTCAAATTAAACAGCCGATAACGTACGTTTTACTTCCAGTTTGGCGATGCGTGACTTTATCTGTCCGCCGACGCCATTCTCTACTAGACAGCGGTACTTCCCTTCATCACCATGCCTGATGCTGGTAAGATTCAACACCGGGCTACGTGAAAGCACCTTTCCAGGATCAGAGAGCTTAATCCAAGTAACGTTTGCATGCGGGTTGCTTTCTTTTATGATACATTGCAATGTTACCGATTCCTCTTCAGTTGTGTTAAGATCCTTAGGATATGCAGGGTCGATGATGGGTGGATCTGGGTAAGAAAAGAGGATCACGTTTAACTATTTCAATGCCAAAGGTGGCCAAAGTCAAAATTCATCAAAATTTCTAAATTGGGAAAAACAGATAATACCATTGGAAAGTACTGTCAACACAGACTCAAAACTTAGAACTACATGCGCGCTTAATAAATAGTACTACGTGAAAGTTTTGTTGAAGAGGTTTCAGTTACAGGGTCACACCATAAGATCTCATAAACAGGCTCAAAACGTGGAGCGACACGCTTAATAAATATTACCATGTGAAAGTACTGCTGGTAGCTTTTATTTGAATGATTACAGTTTAGGATTTCGTCCACGAACTAAAAAGTTAGAACCACCTTAAGAGAGTTCATCATTGACTCTTATACTTTGGCACTGATCCATCTATCGGACAGTGATAGATGGAAATGAGAACACTTCAATCGGCCGCTTTTTCAAATGCTCATTTGAAATGTTTAGCTCTGCCACAGTCCTAACATCGATTAATAGTGACCGTTAGATTCTAAGACGAAAACGACTACGTGTACGAGATGTTCTTAATACTAAGTAGTGTACGCGCGTGAACCAGCGTCATTTTGGCGGGAAAACGTGGTAGCCATCGTCAATCTACGAAGAGTTTTCGCGCGAATGTCGTGGTGGCGAAAACAAGATACCAAATGTTAAAAGTTTTATCTTTTTGCGATCGAGAGAGCGCGTATTTAACCTCCTTCACTAAAGATAACAATGCTAACTTTTCTAGTGAAAAATGGTAAAATGAAGCTTTGCGGGAAGTCTATATTTTGAGAAGACGCGAAAAAACTTCAAGTCAAATCTCCTTCTCGTCCTCGAATCTAAAAGTCTCTAATATTAATGAGGTATGCATGCAAAATGGAAATTTTGCCGAAAAAAGGTTATGGTACTTACACTGTACATCAATCGTACTCATTCGAGAAATCACGGCTAGGCCAATGCCGTTTCTCGCCACACAGTAATATCTCCCTGACCGGTCTCTTGAAATATTTATGAAATTCAAGCTGCTACTGTTAGAGATCTCTGTATTTCTTGCTCGTGCATTATACCATGTTATATTGGGTAGAGGATTCGCCGCTGTAACAACACACTGCAAGATGAGGTTGCTGCCTTCAATGACTGTATGGTTACGAGGATAGCTCATATCTAAGATCGCTGGATCTGTAAAAGAGAATGAATTGTTTCGATTTTATAAATCACTTAGCTAATAGGGTACGAATAATAAGTTTGATTTGATTTTTGCAGCTAGCCATCCATGATCACGTGGCACAAAACCGCCAAGCTGGAGAGCAAAAGTCGCACTGGGACAAGACAAACAAAAGACATACATAATTTTCAATGGTAAGTTCCTTCGTTTATCTTGTCCCACTACTTCTTTCTGCTCTCCAGTGCGGCGGTTTTGTACCACGTGAATAGCTAGCTGGAAAGAGCCCATTAATATAAGGTAGAGTCCTTCATTTTGTACCAGAATTGAACCCTTATTCTACGTACACTACACTATTTCTTTAGCACCAGGATAGGCCATTGTCACGAGAGTAAGAACCTTCCAGTAAAACTTGCAATACAAACTGTATGACGACCAGAAAATTTATTTGATATACTGAATATAGCCCGCTATACAGTAAAGGTCGCTCTGTAACAACGCAACATCAAATCTGTGTGGATACAAGATTGTTCAGCTAATATTGACAAATACTGATGAGCTGTGACGGATATTTATAATTTACCATGGATTCAAAACTTACGCAGCACATTTACGGTTGCAGTCCTGGAAATCGCTTTGTTTCCAACGCCGTTACTGACAACGCAATAATACTTTCCCATATGAAATCTCGAGATATTTGTAAAGGTCAGGTTAAATCCATACGACAGTGGAGTGTCGTTTGCAGCAGCTCTGTACCACGTGATGTTTGGCTCAGGATTGGCAGCTGTCACTGTGCACTGAAGAGTAAGATTCTCTCCTTCGACTAAAGTATTGTGGAGGGGATGACTTCCAATCAACGATGGCGAATCTGTGAATCAAACAGCCTTAATCGGTCATTGTTTAACCTCTTCTACTAAAAACTGAATCGTTGGATAAACTAATTCTAGAGCGCTGATTGACTTAGTCATCATGGTATATGAGCCATTATACTATTCTCTCCAAATATGGTAACTGTACGCGTCTACTCAAAATTAAAAACAAGCTGAAAATCGGGAAGAATTCTCGATATTTTGTGGGCGTTTTTAATAAAACAATTATTCCACTCACGCTTGTTGGATATGAGATGAAAATAGCCCTACCATCTCACATCCAACGCGCAGTCGTGGAATAATTGTTAAATACAGTGAAGGTGTAAACTGTTAGCGCTCCGGAATAATTAGGTCTTAAATGTTATTATCCAACATCTTAGGGTGAATTTGAACTGTCACGTAACTTTTACGTGTGTAAATAAAATAAAGGCAATGTGTCAAAGTCTGTCCGTAAACGTAAAAGTTGAACCTCGCTCAACTTTTATGTTTATACGCTGCCTGTCATTAGAGAGATCTAGAGTCACGTTTAGAGACAACGGCAAACGTGAATTTGTACCACGTGACCAATTTTTCCTTTAACTTGCGCTTTACTCTTCATTTTCTCTACCTCAAAATTAGTTGCTTCACTTTAGTTTTGTCTATAACAATTGTTTTGAACTGTTTTTAGCCGAACGTTTTCTATTTTGAGCAATTCTCAACTTGAATTTGACATTTGCCGTAAACGGCACTCTACATCTCTCTATTGTTCCTATTTTACTTACGCCCGTAAAATTGACGTGCGCAAGCACGTAAAAATTACGCGACATTGGAAATCCACCCTTACACAAACCAATAAACGTGTAACCTGCTTGCGATCCGAAGTAAGAAGGACTTTAGTATGACCACATGGAGATTTCTTTACCTTCCTGTATGAAACATACAAGATTCCAAAGACAAAAAACTACTAATTGGAAAGGTTTCCGATCTGTCTATTTGCAGCTTGACTTGTTCCATGTAAATCAAAGATGGCTACTTAGTTACTTACACTGGACATCGACCACACCCATTCGTGAAATCGCCGCTGGGCCGATGCCATTTGTCCCAACACAGTAATATTCCCCTGCTTGATCTCTTGAAATGTTGAATAACGACAAGCTGGTGTTATTTGAAAGCTCCGAGTTATTTGCACGGGCGTTATACCACGTTATGTTAGGCCGCGGTTTCCCTGCTGTTACAACACAGTGCAAGTGGAGGTTACTTCCCTCGACAACTGTGTGGCTACGAGGATAGCTAAAGTTTAGGGATGGTGGATCTATAGAAATAATGATGCCGTTAGTATCAATAGTAAATCTCTTTTATATGATAGTATAATTAAAATCAAGTGTGAAATAATTAGCAATTATTGGATAAGGCAGAGAATAATGGTCTCGTCGGATAACACCCCCCGAGATTTGCATAATTTTCAGATCATACGAAAGTCAAATTCAATAACTGTTTTATTCTTTTTTAAATAATCCTTACTTTAAAATATGCTTACCTTGACCGATGTTAAGTTCCCCCGTCCCTATTTGTCTGTTACTCGGCAAATTCAGGATATAAAGTGATTTTTAGTTTTGACGTTTTTCATCAAAAAGCAGATGTCATCTGTTGAGTTATTTTCTCGTTGTTCTTTCTATGTTTTTAGGCAGACAATCAGCTATTTCTTCTTCGCAAAACATGTAAACTTTTCAGTCATTTTCTCCTGCTCAGCCTCTAAGTGTACAACTGTGCTGACGCAACCAAGCGCTTCTCGGTTGCCGTCCGTTTTTGGGGCAATATCCAGTACTATTGACGTAATTTCACCGAATATCGCAATCGTCTTTCAAATTTTGCCAAAGCCAACTGGATGTGAAGAATTAGCCGGGGGAATTTGAGCCAAACAGAAATTGAGAAATATTTCTTTCCTTCTAATAGAGGTATAATTAGCCTAAGCGTATCCCTATAACTTACAAAGCACATTAACAGATGAAGTTCTTGATATGATCTTTCCAACGCCATTCTCCACTACACAATAGTATTTCCCATCATCATATCTTGAGACATTTACAAAGGTCAAGTTGACTCCATATGATAATGCAGTGTTACTTCTGGGAACTCTGTACCACGTGATGTTAGGCTGAGGATTGGCATCTGTCACTTTACATTGAAGGGTCAAGTTTTCTCCTTCAAATACGGTGTTATCATAAGGATGGTTAGCATTCAATAAGGGCGTATCTGCGGAATCAATCAACACGGTGCCGTTTTAATCAAACTACGAAAAAAGTAACATTTTGTCTCAAATGAAAATTGAGTACAGCCGAACCCAAACCTCCCATAACGGGCACCTTCCTCAATATTGACGGCAACAATCTACCGCTGACTTCTTTAAGATGCCAAACTCCGTACTACCCTTACTGTAATAGGGACAGCCCTATAGTGCAGACACTTGGCTCTGTCTCTTTCGTGTCTGTATCAACCATATTTAATTGTAACCAGTCCATGATGGCAGCCATCTTTGAACAGTTTTAGATGACGTCACAGTTACCCAAAGTGGTTTAAACCCGAACTATCTATAAGCGGTTTGACGTTTTAAAAGTAATGTAGCAGGATAAATCTCAGAAAGGGCCAGTGGATGGGACAGGATGAAGGAATATCTGTAAGTAAGCGTTGGACAAAAATAGTAGAAGCTTACTTGCAAAAAATACTATGCTTCAAAATCGTTTTCTAGCAGTTTTTAAAGATCTGCATGGAAGCGAAAGTTGTGCATTTGATCGAACTGAAACCTTGATTCCACCCGAACATTGTCATCCTCGGAAAAGAAGACGGTCTAACAGTTTCTCTAGAAACTGAAGCTTCAAAAACAAGGTTTCATAGATCGACAAATTTTCGACGCTAAACGGTTGAAGACTTTCAAAGTCTTCCAGAGTAATTACAAATTCAGCCCAACAAGAAATTATCCCATCTTGCTAAAAATGTATGTCTACGTATATGACAACAACTACTCACACTGCACATCGACTGTACTGGCACTTGACGTCAACGCTCCGTAAATTCCATTGTCCACGACACAATAATATTTCCCTGCATGATTTTTTGAGGTGTTAATAAAAGTCAAGTTGACTCCATGCGATAGAGCTGTGTGATTTGACGTAAAACTGTACCACGTGATGTTTGGCTCAGGATTGGCAGCTGTCACTTTACAATGAAGGGTGAGGTTACTACCTTCGGCGATTGTACGATTTCGTGGATATGAAGAATCAAGCAAAGGAGGATCTAAGAGCGGAGAGCAATGGAACAAAGAAAACATTTTACGTACTGAAAAATTGCGAAAATAAGCCCCTCCATGTATAATCCCCTGCAAATATAAGTCCCCCAATCCGGTAACGCAAAAAACCCTCCGTTAAATCGCCCCTCCAAATATAAGCCCCCCGGGGGCTTGTACTTGGAAAAGTGCCGTCAAATACAAAGTATAACAAAGCAAAAACGGTAAATTTACTTCCAACTATAAGGCTAGCCCAATCGATTTTGAAACGCAAATTTCCCTCCGTAGATAAGCCCATCCGAACATAAGCCCCTCCAATAATAAGCCCCTCAAAAAGGGCCTTTGAAAAATATAAGCCCCGGGGCTTATTTTCGGAATTTTACGGTATGTCACCCCTATAAGGTGTCATATTCTAACTAAAGAAAGAACCAGGCTAATAGGTTGAAAAGGTGGCAAGAGCTATCCATTGGATAAATAATTTACCCAGTGGATAGTAATAATTTATCCACTGGATAAATAATTTATCCAGTGGATAGTAATAATTTATCCACTGGATAAATAATTTATCCAGTGGATAGTAATAATTTATCCACTGGATAAATAATTTATCCAGTGGATAGTAATAATTTATTCACTGGATAAATTATTTATCCAGTGGATAGTAATAATTTATTCACTGGATAAATAATTTATCCAGTGGATAGTAATTATTACTATCTAGTGAATGACGCAGTTGGTTTTCGTAATACGTATCCACTGAAAAACAATTTATTCGGTGGATAGCGCCGCTATCGGATATTTGAACAGACAGGAGTGGAACTTTTAAGTTAAACTACTTACAATGTACTTCGATTGAACTGATCCTTGATGTGACTGCTTTGCCGATACCATTATCAGCGGCGCAATAGTACTTTCCAGCATCATGTTTTGAGATATTAGAAAAGGTGAAGTTGGCTCCGTAAGAAAGTACTGTGTTGTTTGCGGAAACCCTGTGCCAGGTGATGTTTGGCCTCGGATTGGAAGCCGTCACTTTACATAGCAGAGTAAGTTTATTGCCTTCTACGACCGTGTTGTCACGAGGGTAAGTGGTTTCCAATGAAGGAGAATCTGAAAGAAGGCAAAGATTATTGGTGAGTTACGTTAAGTGTCTTTACGATATCAACGCGAAAACAGAGTGCACAGACTGGAATATAACTGAAATTGTCTGCGTAGCAGGCGCTTGGAAGCCCTTTTGCAAGAAAGAACGGGGCGTGTTTCTCCCTCGTGCGCTCTATTCTTTCTTACGACCATTACTTCCCGGGGCCTATATTCTCGGATTCCAGTTCGACGTTCCCATAATTGGAAGACATGAAGGCTTAACTTATCAGAAATGCAAAGACAATCCAATGTCTTTCAAAAAGAGCCGAACGGCCAAGGTTCCTCTCCTACTTTCATGGATCGATAGTGTTCTCCAACGCTATAGGATTAAAGAATTCTGAATATTACCTATTCTAACCAACACTCCCGACTTGAAAAAATAAGATATTCTAAGCAGTTTACTCACACAGCACATTAACTGTATTGACTCGTGACGTCACAGCCTTGTCTATACCATTGTCAACAAGACAATAGTATTTCCCTGCAAGATTTCTTGATATGTTCACAAATGTAAAGTTGACTGCATACGATAGTGCTGTGTTATTTATAGCAACACTGTACCACGTGATGTTTGGCTGAGGATTGGCAGCTGTCACTTTACACTGAAGAGTGATAGTACTGCCTTCGGTGATTGTGTGGTCACGTGGATATGTGGCATCGAGTAAAGATGGATCTGAAAGTGAAGTATAAGGAGTGTCAACATATATCTCCCATCTTCAAAGAGATAGTCTTATAGACAAGCAGACATTAACCAATCAGAAGTCGGGGACAGTGTCCAGCTGGCTTCTGATTGGATGAAATCTTTACTAAAGAATGTGAACAAATCCAAATCGGTCGCACTTTTGGGCTCCTTGGTGTAAGCGCACATTTTCTCCTAAAAGTTGTAATGAATACAGTAATATTTTTTCAACAACTACTCAGTTTTCTTTTGGGTATGTGGTTTTCAGGAGAATTGAACTTCATATCACCAGTTTTCACAATTCTCTCAGCAAAGTCCTTAAATATTTTGTGAATATAAGTGTAAAAGGAAGCTCCCTTTATTAAGAAGGTATTTCATGTTCAGGCTTTTCAGTCCAAAAATGAATAACGTTATCCCTCGGATAAATAGTGTATTTCATGGATAAGAAAACGATATCAAGAAAATTCACGAAAAAGAAAGCGCTAACGACTGGAAAATGCTTTTGTCCAACATTGAACATCTGGGGTCTCGTTTCAACAACGACGACGTGCGAACTAGGTTCCACAATGTCTCTAGTCGGTTCTTACAGCTTCAGCAAATTTAAAGTGATATCATTTAATTAATGCAATTGCAAAACGGTCTAAAGTGATCAAGAACCTGAGGGACGACACCTAATACCTTAGTAACATTGTTTGAATCAACTTACATTGCACATCAACGGTACTAATCCTTGATACTGCGGCTTGCCCGATTCCATTTTCGACAACACACTGGTATCTCCCTGCATGGGATCTGGTGATAAGTCCAAACGTCAAGTTGTCCTTGTATGATATCAGTGTTTTATTGGTAGAAACATTGTACCACGTGATGTTTGGTGTGGGATTGGCAGCTGTCACTTTGCATTGAAGGGTGAGATTATTGCCCTCGGTGACCGTGTGATTATAGGGAAAGCTGGAATCTAGTGACGGTGGGTCTGCAAAGCAAAACAAAACAGAACAAAAAGCAGCGTCAACAACAACAAACATTTGTACGTACTTATGTTTTCTGTGCTCTCGTGCTGGTGAAGTAGGCCGCGTGCATTTTTCTTTGAAATTTACACGTAACGCAAGACAAGTATAGCAACATACATGTACTGAATTGCATCTGACAAGACATATTGAACGTTTTATAACCTGAAATTATTTGTTGAAAATAATTGAAAAATTTAGATGAAGCAATAATTGCGCGCGTTCAGACCTTCATGTCAGAACATCCATCGAAAAAAACAACAACTCAGTTTTCCCTTAAAAAGAACTTATGCTGGAAGGTTCTCTTAACCGGTCACCTCCAGTGAGCTGTTCGCAAATCTCAGAGTTATGAGTGGTCGCTTACGGGAGGTTAGACTATATAGATCAAGTTAATGTTTTCCTGTTGAACTCAATTAAGCCAACTGGACAAGAGATTTAGTAAAACTCAAGACGAGGAAGAGGATAATCATCAACGGCAAGAGAATAATACATTCATTTATTACTTACATTTAAAAGAGCCCCATGTGTTTGTTGGTAATATACTATTACTTACACAGAACATCGACATGAGCAGTCGGCGAGATAACAGACTCCACTCCATTGGTTACTACACAGTTGTATTCACCCCCGTCAAATCTGGTAGCGTTGACTGTGATGTTTACAGACACTGCAAATGGAGTGCTACTACCATTGTTCCTTATCCAAGTTACATTAACTGCGTCCGTATTTCCCAGCGGCAAACAGTGAAGTGTGAACGAGTTTCCCTCCGTCACTGTTTTATTCAGAGGGAGTCTAGGGTCGAGGGATGGTAATTCTGAAGTAAAGAAAAGGAATAACGGATAAGTAGTTAGATATGATTATAGTTTCTCAGTGTTACAGATGATGCGATGACCAAACGATGCAATACAAAATACAATAAGCAGCTTAAGGAAAGACATTTTTGAACGACTCACGTCAAGTTTAAGTGGACTTGTTGCATGCTTGGGCAGTGGGTTTGCCCAAGTTTTCCGGCAAATCGTCTCTATAAGAGTAAAGACACTTAGCCATACAAATTTGGTTGCACTAATAAGGCATGTTAAAATGAAAGAGGCCTCACAACGGTTCATGTGCGTCGCCCAAAAACGTCTTTGCGTAAGCTCCCTAATGAACAAAGAGCAATAACCAACCTAATCAACCATATAGTACCCGCAAGTGCAACACAACAAAGCCCCCATTCCGCTGTTCTGAGGCTACACATCAGATTTGCTCGGTGTGGTAACGAATTTCACTAAGGGAGACAGACAGACCCATTGTACAATCGACAGGACACCGTCCAAGCGTTATATGACAACCTTGTTCTCAAGGCCTCTCTTGCTGTGTAGAGACGAGTAGGAAGGACCCTGGGAACGAGCGCAATCTCAAGATAGCCATTAAAACAACAGGCCATTTCCAAGTTGCATCAAGCCTCTCTTTCAAAATGAGGCTAAGCGTGAAACCATTGATATGAAGATCATTTTTTACTCTCATGCAAATGAATCTTATTTTCACGAGAAACATTTTACACGTAGCTTCGTTTTGAAAGTGAGAGTTTTTGGCACTCCGAAATGGCCTATTGATATGACCATTATTTTCCTGTAGTGAAGCGATAAAGCAAGAAGTATATATCGTCACCAGAGCCTTTGGATCTTATGGCTGCTCTTTTCCTTAGCAGTCCTGTCATGCGTAATAGAGAAGAGCTCTGGGTTGGAGAATGTAAGCATTAAGGAATTACAAGATAAATTGAATACCTCGTCCGTACACCTCCACCCTTAAACACGGCCAGGTGCCATACGTCAAAGGATAAATGCGTAGGAACCTGGTAACGAAACTTGAGCTATCGTTCAATGTGTTCCTGACCACAGTGTCACCATCAGCATTTCCAGCAAAAATCTACGGTCAATAAGAATGGCTTAGTTATCTCAGTCTCACATTACTACCTTAGCGCTCTTAGGATCTGTGATTTGCACTGTACCTTCCAAGCCTCGTCCTCAGGCCAGTTTGCGCTATCCAAGTGAGCAGAGGAGACTTGGAACCTAGCGCAATAGAGAGAAGTGTGACGTCATGTTACCATAGTAGCAAAATTTCTGGATCTCTGGGTCTCAGTAATCTTTCTTGAAAGAGACGGCCATTTGCATTGCCGAACGATGGAAGACAAGTATGGACTATAGTTTTGTTCCTGAGTGCAATCACGCGTAGAAAAGTCTTACATGTCATTTTTTCCTGTCATTTTTGCAGGACCCCATTTTGTTAAGGTCCAGAAATTTTGCTTCCATGGCAACTTAACGTAACGACTTCCTATCTCTATAGACGAAATTTCCCGACAAGGTGACGTCACATCCGAAATCGCTGAGAACGAGGCTGGTACCTTCAGATACAAAAACAGGTCTAACAGTGCATGTCCAAGGTAATTTACAAAGCAAGTTCACTTGTTGGAAATATGAAGATTTCTAATAGAGAAAACAAAACGTCTATTGCATAACAGAAAAATTGTACATTTCAAATTGCATACCCACCAAAATGCTTTTATTCTCCACCGTTACGTCAGCCCAGGAAGATCCGTTTAAAGAATACGCAACCCTGTAAGTAGACACGAACCAAGACAGCGTGTGATGGCCTTGCGTGTCTATTGCGCATACTCGGTACGGCGAGGAGAAATCGATTTGAATAAACTCAAAGACGGAAGCCGTCGAGGGGCACCACTCTTTATCACCACCAACCTTGGCCATGTACGGTTGGTTAAGATTTGAGTCAAGGACTGACGATGCTTGAAAGTTTCCGTCAGGTAGAGAAGCTGTCAGCGCAACGTCATAAGGTGAAACATAAACCTAAGCCCAGGGGCCCGTTTCTCGAAAGTAAATAACGGGCCCGTAAAGCTGTTGACACACAAGATAGAGGTTTCAACAGTTTTGTAACAAAACTATCAGTTCATGAAACAAAATGGAAACCCAGGGGCTTATTCTTTATATTTCGGAATATTTGATTTCGGGGAAAAGTTGAAGGCTTTAGAAACAGGCTTATAAGGTGCTTTATAACCGAAAAGAGGGTTTATGACAGGGGTTTATAACAGAAATAGAAAAAGCGCTTCGAAACCAGCTATAGCAGCGATCATCAAAGTACGTTTTGCCTTAACTGGTTTTTCATTGAGCTTCAAAACGTCTTGATAAATCGAGGTCATTTCAGAACATTTGGAACAAAAGCTGGAGGAGTGTGGGGGGGCTTATAATCGGCTGTATTTTTTTGTTTACAGGTAGATGGGCCTATAACTGAGGGAACTTATACGAGGGGGGGGGGGAGCCTTGAAGGGGCAGTTTACGGTATAACAACTCCTGAATCAATCAATGAGCGGGCACACGGTTTACATTATATTGGTATGAACTTTAGAATACCCCCGTTTATACCAATGCAAGGTCTTTCAAGTGATAAATTTCACCATAACTTACAGATAATAATTCGAAGGAAGCGCAATGAAGACATCGGACGTAATCCATAGGAACTACTTCGCTCAAAAAGTCGGAAAAAATACCGATCGATAAGTTTTCAAAAAGATGTTTCATGGCATCATGATCAAATTGAAGTTAAACACTGTTCTTATCTACATTGAAGTCTCTTATAACCTAGGGAGATCATTACTCAAAGGACATTTATTTCTTTGGTATAATAAATTATAAGTTAGTCTTACCTTGATTCCCTTCAGATGAACAAAACACGTACAATGTCAGAAAAATAGCTAAAAACATAACGCTTCTACACAAGGCCTCAGCTTTTGACAGTTACGGTTTGTCGATGTTAGCTGAGTGTTAGCTAACTAACACTTTATACACCCAGATACCGGTCGCTCATGTAGCGGTGCTGTCTTTAACCCGAAATATTCCAAACTTCTTGTTCTGAACAAAACACTTATTTGTACTCCATGAATTAAATCAAGCAAATTACAATCCATAGGAGGCGTTAATGACGATATCTTCCGTTAGACGATAAAACAATGAATACCTTTGGATGACACGCCGCTTTTATACTCTAGCAACAAAGGAAAAGTAATAACAATTCAAAGATCCTTTGAACAGTAAATTAAATCGGGTGACTCGACGCAATTACATAAAGGGAACTGAGCACATTCAGTTTTCAATATGTGATCCAATAAAGCTTGACATAATTAGTTTTCAGTTGTATGGTATATGTGTCAGTGACGTTTTGCAAAAAGCGGCAGTTAGCTCAATTTCGCATCTTCAAAAATCTTCAACCCTTATACTTCAAAGGTCGATTATGGAGGTATCTAATGTAGTTTTTGAGAGTCTGCAGACGAAATTGATCCTACGGTGTGACAATTCAAATGAAAGTTGCTGAACAGTTAACTTCCCTGTAGTACTTTTAATTATGCTGTACAAGGTGGTTTTTACGTTTGAGTCTTAGGATGAAATTTTTTTGGCTGGCCAGGTAATCGAAACCTTTTCGGCAAAAATTGTCATTATAGTACTTCTTTTTCAGTATTCTACAAAACTGAAATTGGGAATTTCTTTTTTTAACTTAAACATTTGACTGCTCCAAGCAGTAAAAGGATAAATTCAAATACGGTAATCAAGACGTTAATAACAGAGTTGGACATTTTAAGATTTAATCAGCGGTTCTTTGCTTGTTTGAGAGGCATATCTTGTGATTTTCCTTGAAAGTTCGAGTTATGGCAAGCCGACTGTATACAAATAATACATGCTACGTACGTGTACAGTGGTGGTGGTGTAAGTCTCCCTTGCAGCCGTTTTTTGGATGTCACGCAACGCTGGGAGGGAGACTATGGTGTTCCTTGACAGCTTCCGACCCTGCGTTTATTATAATCAATTTCTTCTCGCCTTACCGAGTATGCGCAGTAGACACGCAAGGTCGTCACACACCGTCTTGGTTCGTGTCTACTTACAGGGTTACGGACTCTTTATACAAATCTTCCTAGGCGAAGTACAATTTGCAACACTCTGCGAAGACACCACTGTACAATAGCTTTCTTCACCACTCCTTGACCTAAAATTCCCAAATGATAGCTCTTTCATTGCACATATTTTGGATTCACGTTTTTTAGATCAAGAAGGAACAGCCATTCTATTTAATCTACTGATATTGTTTTAAAATATTTTAACTATAAACACCTTTTTTTTCATTCAACCTCATAAGTATGTTTCTTGCCCCAACATTAAAACAAAACTCCCTTAAAATTTCCTTCCATTACACTTCTCTGTTTGTTTTGATCAACTTACAAAGTGCAAAGTGCAAATACAAGGTCGGTTTTCTCATTTCTCTTTAAAGAAATTAATCTATCGAACAACACGTTGAACACAGGGACACCCAGCGAATAACAAATTTTGGCAAAAATGCACTGAAGTCATTGACTTTGATATATTTTTTAATAAGCCCACACGTTTTAAGTTTGCTCAGCTTCTATTTCAACCAATGATCATTCTGGAATAAATTAAACTAGTCCACCTGTGTTTGAATGTGACTTAGACCAATATCTCTTGATTACATTATTAGCCGCTTAGTGTAGGTATTAACTTGTTTTTATGCGTTAATAATCGTAATCAGCTGTAATAAATATGCACAGAGGCTAATGAGCTCTGGCGGCGTAATAACTTCAGAGACTACAGTTGCTGAACGGAGAATCTCGAAGAGTTATGAAGCGACCCTATGTTTTTTGGACTCTATTTTTGTTTTGCTGGGCCGTCGAACTTACACTTGGTAAGATTTTTGACTGTTACTAATTATGTCTCTGTTACAAAACATTTAAATCGTGAACACCTTGAGAAGTTAAGGACCTGGAAAATGCTTAGAGTATGGTGAATTTAAAGCAAAGCTAAGATGATAAAAAAGTTCAACAATGCAACCAGCGACTTGGAAGTACTGTTCAAGTTGTCGCAACAAAAATTGAAGCTAACATGAAATTAAGATAATGACAAAGTACGAATGTTACTGAATAATTTTTTTAATGGCAAAGATACAGAGAGTTTAATTTTCTGATTATATGGCTCGTTCAGAGGTCGAGAGACAATATAATAGAAATAATCGTTCTTATCGACTTCAGTGTCAATTTAAATACCCATTGCATGCAAGTCTTTTTTTCAAATGTTGTAAGAAAAAGAAAACAGCAGTTTAAATAAAAGAAAAAAAGGGATTTTTCTATGAGTTGAAAGAAGAGCTCGGATTGAAACCAATTTTAAAAAAACTTCAAAGCTTATTAAAAAACAGTTCACTAAAAATTTTCATTTGAATGGTCTGTTTAGAGTTACAATTTGTAGATTCCTACAAGCACTATCCACACACTGCATTACAAACAGTAGCATATGACAAACGCGCTGCTCAAATAAATTGCTTTGTACGATTTTATAACTTGACTTCGCCGATCGAGTTTAAAGGCGTGCATTTAATCGGATGAGTTTGCAGACCCATATCAACTCAATTTTTCCCCTCTAGTTTATGTATTTCCTTTGAATTCCTTTTCGTAAAATAGCGAAGCCAGTGACATAAAAAATGAATAAAGTACTACTTTGTATTCACACTAACTTTCGAATATGCGTGTTTGCAATGATTTCTAATGCATAAAATATCTGCACGATGAAAAACAGTCAACTATCTTAACGAGCAATTCTTTAAGATACATCTCCCTGAAATGGACACCGAGCATCGGTTCCTGAAGTTCGTCAGTCACTTTCTTAGAGTCTCTAAAAGGCGTTAGGCTCTCTATTCTGTACAATCTCTCTAAGACCGGCACTTCTTGAGGGTCCCAACAGTGTTCACACAAAAGCCACATTTGGAAAGAGAGAATGCAATTTTAACTAAGGTTATTAAGAAGCTATTTCAATAACATACCGGAGAGCTCCTGCATCGGCACAAAAACCACATCGGATAGGCTTTTTGTTCTCATATAAGAACGAAGCGGTTTCTGCGACGAGGCGAAGCTGCATCTCGCCGATCTCCATCGATCTTCGTGGCAGTGTAAACTGGTGTTCATGCCAGACCGGAGTATTTTTGGATCAATCTAGGGTTCTGGGAAACTGCCCACCCACCCCTCCCCTAAGCCATCATTTTGCCTTAAGCAAGAAGAGTTAATGGCACAGTTGTTAAGCAATATGTAAGAGTTTGTAATTTTCGATTCATCGATTTTTGAATTTTGATCGGCAAACCTTACCGGTGTTTAACGTCATGAAGAATACAAGAGTTTGTTTTTCACTCATTTTCCAGCTTATATGAAGAATATGTTTTCACTCCGGTCCTCTTCTTATGATCTTCGTGGCAACTCCATTCTCTCACTTAGTAAACCTAAAACAACTACGTATGGTCTTAACTCCTTTTCCTACTTTTTAGCTAAGCAAAGAAATGCACTGCCGGACCTTTTTCGTACATTTGTCTAGTTTTTTTTTGCAGACTTTAAGAACAAAATACAGGATGTTACCTTCATGTAGATTCTTTTTGCTTGACGTACTTAAACTTAAAATTGTGAATTGTAAATATTTTCTTTTCTTTTATGCCTTTATTATTAACATTATTATTATTATTATTATTATTATTACTTATAATGCATTTAATGTATATATTTATGTAGTGTCACCTCGAAGATATTAGCTTGTTAGCTACTCTAAAATTCGAGTATAAATAGAGTTTATGTTATGTTATGTTGCCATCTTTTTAAAGAGCTTGAGTGTCTTAGCATCAATTGAATTCCAAAAATAATGGTCCCGTTTTGTTAGTTAAGACAATGTTCAGGCATTAAAACCGTTTCTCATCGCTTACTGCTACGGTGGCAAGGCGAAGGTGGATTGAAACGTGAAAAAATTGGGCCAATTTTTCAAGTTTCAATGTTATAGCTACAACAAAACACCCCCAAAATGATCAACGTTAGGGCTTCCTGATGAAATTTTTTCTATACCATTTTTATAACGCTAAAGGAGCATTTTTGAGTTTTGTTTTTAATAAAGGCACTTAGCAATGACTTAAACACAAAATTCACCGAAAAAAACAACATCCTCGTGACAGACTCTCTTAACACTCTAATTTCCCCACAGGTAACCATCCTAAGCCACCAAAGCCAGCCAACGGAACCCTAAGCTGTATAGATATTATCTGGGATGAAATTTGCCAGGTTGCTTGCGAGAAAGGATTTGTACCAGAGAAACCCCATGCAAAGTCCTATATTTACAATAAATTTACTGGAAAATGGACTACTGAGCCAGAAGGAGGTGAATTTCCTTGGGCTCCCTGTGTTAAAAGAAAGAGTGACTAATGGCCGATTTACACGGTACGATTTTTGCTTACTTATAGTATCGTCAGGGGTTTCGTTTCGGGCCGGACGCCGGACGCAACGTCCGGTTGTTTAACATGTAACTCCCGGTAGTTCACACACGAAATAGTTATATTTTCTAAGTGTGAAAATTATTTTTTTCCATTTATTAACCAAAGAAAGATTTAACCCTTATTTTGCTCACTTAATTATGTAATGCATATAATCGAAAAAAACAGAGATAATTCCTGTCATACACATAATTATAATTGCCAAATCAATCAAATATTCATTTTCGTGAGCATTTTTTAACGCCTTAAAAGACCTTCCCGGTTACCAATTCCGGTTCGGGGAACGCAGGAAATTGCATTTTAGAGAGTCCAATTTTACAAATTTCCGGGGGGGGGGGGGCCATGCCCCCGGACACCCCTAGAAGTTCGTGCCTCAGCAACTCAAAGTTTGCGCCAGCGGTGCACGTCCGCCAGCTGAACCACTGCATCCGGAACTTCCAAATTCTACCGAAAACCCTGTACTATCTCGCGCGACTAGCATGCGTCATGACTTCACGACAGATCGTGTCGTGTAAATTAGACCCGCGACATTCCTACAACACATTGTGGATGTCGTAAGTGTAAATTGTTCGCCTGTGGATGGTCGAAAGTTATGATGCATGCTAGTCCCTCTTGCTGGGTTACCCTCCCTCCCTGTAAACAGGCCTTAAAGGTCGATTGACACGATTCGATTTGCCAGGGCCCAAATTTGGCACCCGAGGGAGTAAATGCGGGTCCAGCTAATCAAGAAAAGAGACTTCAGTTATTGTTTACGCATTGCGGACCCACCCCCTATTGCTTCTTGACGGCACGGTGGCTGCATCCTTAAATTCAAAGACCATACACAAATAATCGAATAGACCTTTTCAAGGATACGACGGCCATATTGAATTTATTAGTTTTAAGGAGTATTATGGGATGCCCAGGGGGCACTCGCTCAGTATTTAAGCGCGCTTTTCGGGCAAAAAGAGAAATTCGTCGTGTATTTTTCGGGAAAAATGCGATCATTATTACATCCAAACACGGCACAACGATCTTTTTTTCCCATTACATTCTTTTTCTAGGAAAACGTAAAGAAAAATTGGCCTGAAAAGCGCGCGTAATTACTGAGCGAGTATATCGGATCGTGCTCATGCCCCCTGGGCATCCCATAATACTCCTTAAATCTAATTAATTCAATATGGCTGTCGTATCGATAAAAAGGTCAATTGCAACACATGACTCAGTTATTGACTCTAGAAGTGAGTGGTTTAGGCTTTCAGATTTGTTTTCGCACTTTCTTTGTAAAGGTTTTCACTACTTAACAAATCTTGTTTTGTTTACTCTACAGTTAAAAAAAATGAAGTGAACAAGTAATGAAAATTTCAAGCAAAATCAGCTCAGGCAGGAACTTACATGGTTCAAGAATTTACCAGCGTTGTTAGTTAGGAAACGACAGTCGATAAATCAGCTAGTTTAAAACTGAAAAAACGAACAATAAAGATTGTTAGCATGTATTGTAATGAGTGAATTCCCTTCAATGTAACCAGAAATTGGGTCGGCTAAGATACCTACGTACCGAAAACTACATGAAAGAGCACCTCCCCGGGACCAGGGCTCGAAGTTATCTTTTTAGTGCACTTGCAAAGTTTTGCTAGTAAGATTTTTTTCCGCTAGCAAACTGGTGAGACCACAAGCAAATTATTTCCCTTTGTTTGGGAGACATGAATAATTCTAACTCGCAATCGTTTGCTAGTGGATATTTTTCTTACTCGCAGATTATCAAAATCACTCGCATTTTGCGAGTTTGCGAGCGTTAATTTCGAGCCCTGGGGACAAAGCCGCAATGGAGACTTATTCAGAATTATCAATCATTATTATCATTTTTATTGTTAACTAACATTTTTGTACGTCATTTTTACGCTTTTAGACTTTTCGAACAGAACTGTGTTGCTCGTAAATGACAGCGCCTCGCCCAATGTGGGAATCGTTCCGCTGACTGTCCGAAATGTTTATCCAAAATTTGCTTGAAGTGAAAGCGTATAGTGTGACAAAATCATAGGTCAGAAACATGAAATCCGAATTTTTTCTCACTTAGTTTGGCGCAAATTGCAACTAACCACACATATGGAACGTTCCGCTTTGAAAGCTTCATTCACGATGCTTCAAACAAGCGCAGATTAAATTAGTTCTCAGACTGCCCTTTTCAATTTCGCGAGTATACACTTTGTACCCAGTTTACTAATATCCGCACACGAATCAAGAGAAAAGGGACCGCGGCGGGATACGCCAAAAAATATCATCGCTGAAAAATAGCTGAAAAAAAGCTGCAGTTTTAAAATTCTTTTCTACTAATTTTAAAGGAGTAAATTAAAAAAGATGGCGGCTTCTGCCAAAATGTCGTTTTTGACAACTTCCTGAACGAAGCATTGCGCGTGAATGATCAAGAGCAAACAAATAATGCTGTAACTGTTACATTAGAATCTATCTATCAACGAGTATTTACACTGACTGACTTTTTGCCGCGCGTTTACCTCTGGGGTGCTTATTCATTATTGGTTCAATTCTTCGCAGGTTTTACTAAAACCAAAAATACACACATATGTCTCATCAGAGTCAAAAAAAATTCTATGAACAGATGTACAATAAAATGGACTGATTAACAGCGTTCACCAGGCGCCACGATTTAGAACTTACTCTGCTTACTAAATGATCGATCCTTAGCCTTCTTTTGCTAAATCAAAGTAATGCTTCAAACGACGCAAAAATATAATACACCTGAATATGGACTGGACTGTCATGCGACAGTGCTAATCAACGAACTGATAAAAACCGATTTCACCTGACCCGGCCAGATTGAAAATTAATGTTTAAAACAAAACAAAGATACGGAATTGAAATGTGAATTGCAATTGTTTTTAACTAAGCTCGTATCGACTTACCAAAATACATCGACTTTAAATTACTTAAGATAAATGACCCCACAAAAAAATTAACTGAAGAAGAGGTGTCACACAATAGATGTTAAAATTCAAAACCAAATCAAGGATTCTCTTTATTCTGAATCGAAATTTTAAGCAATATTGATGTTTAATGAAGCAGTGATCTCTGATTAATAAATTACATACACTTGAAAACTGGCAGAAAGCAGCAGGCGCGAATGGACAAAATATTCAATACCAGATGACCCGTTTGGTCTAAGAACATTGAAAGCGAAAAAAACAAATTCAAAACTGCATTTGGTTTAATTGAGCACATATTGACTTGACATTATTCGCCTACATAGGCTTTAATAGCTGAAATAATTACAGGGATAATTGCCGCCGTTTGCATTTTCAATGAACATAGCCCTTTTTTCATCCTTCGAACCGCTTTTATTCCGGCATTCAATGGTTAAAATATAAACAAACACTCGTGAAAAGAGTTTTCCTTCAAAAAAAATACGTCACCCAGCTGATTTGCATTGTACCATCCCCGGGACATCTTTAATTAAAAGTGATCCACACAAGATTTGGTGGCATTCAAACTTACGCTGCATGTGATCAACTCCAAACAGTTAACTCTCCTGGAACGAATTTTGTCAGGGGAAGCCACCTTGGATCTCGACACAACGGAAATTGTACTCATCTACGCTCTCTAATTTTCGAAGCACTATGTGGTCTTAAAATGACCACGCAAAGCTAACCTAACTTGGCTTTTGACGTTGATGTTTTCATTGCCAGATTTCTGTGTGGATTCTGTACTAATTCTCCGACACTTCCTTTCAACAAAATGGCTGGCAAAATCTCTACGGTCAGCCATTCAATGCTGGACGTTTTACGAAATGACAGAATAACCATCAACGTTGGTGGTTTTAGACATAACACTTTTTTGACGACATTAAAAAACATACCCGATACTCGTCTCTCGTGGATTGCAGAAAACCACCCAAACAGCCCCGATTACGACCCGGTACTGGGCGAATACTTTTTCGACCGACACCCTCGTATCTTTTCCGAGGTGCTGAATTACTATCGCATCGGTAAACTGCACTGTCCGGTAGATGTATGTTCCGCGCTATTTCAAGAGGAACTATCTTACTGGGGAATTAACGACCGTGACATTGAGCCTTGCTGTTGGGTGTTGTACAAAAGGCAGATCAATACAGAAGAGACGCTAAAGACTTTTCATCTCGACAGCGCCAGACGATCATCTGGGGAAGAAGCTAAACAAGTAGAGCGAAAGCGAACTATTGTAAGCTTGTTCGGATCGGAAACAGTTCTCAACAGAAATTTGTGGGAAGGATGGAGACGGTTTCGGCCAAAAGTGTGGTCTTTGTTGGACGACCCACGCTCATCAATAGCAGCTAAGGTAAACGAACTTCACTTAAAAGTAATTCCGTAAATCCACTCGTATGAAATATAACAAAGAAACCAGATTGTGTCTGATAAAAGCAACAAGATAACAGTCTTATTCAAGGTACTGGGAAATGACTGACCAAAAAAGCGTTTATATATTTTCCAAGCTTTGATTTAAACAAGGGGGTCACAGAGAATTGACACAGAAAAGTGGACATTCGTTGCTAAAATTTGTTAGACAAAGCCGACTTATTACCCAGTAAAAGGCGTAGAACATTAACAGATCACTCTAGTACAGGGATAAATTGTTTGCAACATTTCAATCAGGCCGCATATTTTTTTAAACACATCGTTCTTGCGTCCACCTGCATCCAGTGAATTCGCTCATTCATACGTGGCCTAACCGTGTAAAAAAAAAATATGCGGTTTCAAAAATGTCCGGACTCACGTAGACAGGCCATTCTTATTCGATAAAATGAGATTCGATCATGCCTTTCAGAACTCACTAAACCTTATTTCGTTTTTCAACTTTGACCGTTTCCGATAATAAATGTTTTGTTTACACTTTATAACCATTTTATCGAGAAAAATAATTCTTGCTATACGTGATGTTGTGGGACATTAGTACAGAAGCATCAATCAAATATTGACTCGGCGCGATTATTGTTTTGGGCAATGCCTTTAGGCGCTATTTTACGTATTCATCTGAAACTAAGGAAAGGGCGGGTAAATAATGTGTTATTTGTGTTTCATACTGTTGCTGCTCACAAATCCGATTGCTCCAATGAAAAAAAACAACATAGTCATCTCGACTCCACCCTCCTAAATACTATGTTCGGGTCTATTTTTTCTCTACCGTCGTAAACAAAAATGCGTATTTTCATATTCCCCCCCGTCCATTTTTTTTTTGTTCTTAAACAAAATTACACGAAATCTAAGCAGGTGATTTTCTTCAAAAGATCACCGATCACCTGACAATTTTAACCTTCTATTGAAACTGCTCTCATTGTTCGTTGATTGTCAGTTACGGAAGCGTCTTTTAACAAATCAAAAGTCAAACTGATTGGTATTATAATTAAAACCGTGAATTCTGGCATATTTGATTCACCCTTTTTAAGGCCTTTAACACCGCAATATTAACACGCTACTTACATTTTGAATGGAACAACGTCGTCCAATCGATAACCAAGCATCAGGTAAACCAAGTCCTCTTTCTAAACAGACCAAAAACAACAAAAGTACAACGGCAACTTCTTAGTACCAAAACGCTGACTTGAAATATAACAATTGGGAGAGTTAGACTATTGAATTCAGTCCAGCTACAACTCGTGCATGCTTTCTCAAATAATCTTTCACTGCATTCTTTGACAAAAGTTATGACAATTTCTTTGTATTGCGCCTGTTTAAAATTGGGAAAATGCAATGTTTTGAACTGAACATAAGTCTGAGCTATTCTTAGGTTCAAAGTCTTACAGTGAAAGGTTTTTACAATAACACTGAGAGTAAGATTTTCTTTTACAGGTTTTCATTGGCTTAACAAGTCTTTTTATCATGATTTCCGTCACGCAATTCTGTCTGGGTACCATGGCAACTGTCAAAGAACACAAAACTACAATTAAGGTCTTGCGAACTCTGGATACCATGACATCGATTTGGTTCACAGCAGAGTTCCTCCTTCGTCTCATTTTTTGCCCAGATTTAAAAAGCTTCGCTCGCAATCCAATGAACTTGATTGATTTACTGGCTGTGTTGCCATTCTACCTCTCACTGTACCACGTGACAACACGAACTTCATGGTTGGTTGTAATGAGAACACTCAGAATCTTCCGGATTTTCAGCCTCTCGTTTTCCTTCCAAGTTCTTTTTCACACACTAATGTCCAGTAAAAACGAGTTGTTACTGGTTTTTATAAGCCTGATTGTGCCCATAATTCTGTTCTCCAGTATGATTTACTTCGCAGAGAACGAGACCAACAGCGAAAAGTTTCCCAGCATCCCAGAATCCTTTTGGTGGGCAATTGTTACAGTGACTACGCTAGGGTATGGTGACGTAGTTCCGGTCACCAAAGTGGGAAAGATAATCGGCGCTATGTGCGCGATATGCGGCGTCATAATTATCGCACTTCCGGTATCAGTGATTGGCAGCAATTTCTCTTACTTTTACATGCAAGCACGCACGCGTATTCAGCAGCCACGTCGCTCGACAAAGATGCCGACACTCTCTCACGTTCCTGCCAATTTGATGTACAAGCGTTTGGCGCGCAGACGCAGTGGCTCGGGAGCCGAAGAAAATGGAAAGTTACACGGGAAGTCTTTCGTAGGTCGTTCGAGCAAGAAGCGGAAAACGTCTTCACAGTATCGGAGGAGGCCCATCAGAAAATCAGGGTTCGCAACTCGAGCTAGTCAGGCCGTGGAGATGACCTACACACTCAAAGAAAACCACCAGACTGAGAACCTGGCAGAAGAAGTTTAAAAAGTGCGTTTCTTGGGCAGATTATCCGGAACGGGATCAGTGATCCGAGATCGCTCGGATCATGGGATATTAAATTATCCGATGAATCCTTTCCCAGCGTGGATTGGTCGGTTCCTATGATGTGCGATGATCCGAGTGATTGCTAACTAATTCTTATCCGGATCATCACAATGAACTCACCCTATTTATAATAAACATTCTTAAGGCTTTGGGAGCGAGAAGCTATTCAATAAACAAAAGCAATGGCAGAACCCAGGGAAAAACTTCTTTGTAGGTCACACCTAATGATTACACACAGAGGGTAAACCTCGCAACCTACCTGACAGCGTAGTAGCCCTCTTTGGGACAGAAAATTCATCACAGTATGTTTTACAGAGAGGTGATAGTGCACAAAGTAGGGTCATGATGTGCTCCAGGTAGCATTCATCTGAAAGAAAACAAAGCGAACTTAGTCTGAGTGATACTAGCGTTGAGATACACAAAGTGCAAGCGTCTTTAAGTTGCCTACCTTTAGGGACCACTAATGCAAAATACAGTGAATATTAAGTAAAGAGGCAGTACAGCGATTGCAAACTTACATATTAGTTTCCAGATATATCCTGTATCCTTGTAGGTTCATTTCAAGAAATAAATACTTAATTTATACTGCAAAAAAAGAATAGATCAGCTGAGTATGAAAAAAAGCTGGTCTAAAACGGTCAGTAATAAAATATTAAAAAAAAAAACAATCGTACATAGTAAAAAAGGGGAAAGACTAATATTTACAATAAAAAAGGTGTTAAAAAATTAAAATGAATTAATCTGCAATCTACATTTATGGTGTGTTTTGTCTTTTTCTTGCAAATACTAAAATGTCTTTCTTTTAAAAGATCCTAATGTTAGGCCATCAACCCGTAATTCATTAGGTAACTCGTTCCAATCCTTTGCTCCAGTGAATTTAAAGGTAGACTGGCCAATAGTGGATTTTACTTTAGGCAGATGAATTTCTCGTCTATCTCTTACCTCTGTTATTATTCGTTCAGCCCCCGGACGTAAGCAGTCGCTTGCTAGTCTTTTCTTGATCAGGCCTTACTAGTGTTAGTTTGTTCTGCCGAAGAGATCTAGCTTAGAGGATCCATCTTAGGTAACCATCTTCCCGACATAGGGCTTATACAATGTATAATCTCATGCGTCAACTGTATGTTTTACCCTTCCTCATTCCACAAAAACATCCGTGATAGTACGCAAGGAAGTTTGGTGGTAATGGGGTGAGGGGGAGGGGGGGGCACTTAGGGAAGTTTGGGCAGGGGTGTACCACCTTGGCCTTTAAACAATGGCCCTCTTTAAGACAAAATCACTTCGGTTACAAACGGACAATTAAAATCAGGTAAGTCTTCTGGAAACTTAAAGGAGGGGATTACATAGCCTGTATACTAAATGAGGGTTAAGGGGCTGTCAATTTACTAGAGGTTTTGCGTTAACTACAAAAATCATAGCAATGGTAAAAGGTTGACAATCTTACATTTAATAGCACTCAGAATTTGCATTACATAAAACACGATGTTTTACAGTATTAGCATCAACGCAAAGAAATAATCAAAACGTTTATACCTTAGGAACAAAATTGCGTGAGGAAAGAAGCACGCATTAAAAACAATAAAATAAGAGTTAAGAAAATTGTGAACTATTTGTCATCTCGCTGTGCTTGATAAAGATTCTTCTGTGATGGGGGAAAGACCATTGTCCGGCTCGGATAAGCGGCTGTTTTCACCAAGAATATGCGCCAGATCACTGAACCTAAAGGACATAAAAACAAAAAGGCTCACAAAAGGAGCCCTCTGTTTGTTTTTTGTCTTGTGATTAATTGCCAATTCCTTCTCCAAGGCTCCAACCAGAGGGCATTTCGCGATCAATGCTAAATGATGTAAAGGTCTTTTTGCTGTTTTTGGATGTGTTGTTCTGACAACGTAAACAGCGTCGGACATTACAGGAAATTGGTCAAACACTCTTCCCTTGATGAAATGAAAGACTAAAAATGGTCATTAACGCTCTAGAGAGTAATCGTACTAACTTGGAGCCTTTCAGGAGATCCAGGAAACTGTGAAATTGCCTGAATGACGCTTCTATGCTCTCTAGCACTCGGTCGTCTTCAAGAATAGTTTTAGCTCCTAAAACGAAATTAAGACCGGAGATAGTTAATAGAAAATATTAAGACAGAATCCACCAGGAAATTGAGTAATTTTAATTTTCAGTGGACAAAAACCTTGTACCACAATAATTTAAAGAATATTGCAGTCCGCCTTAAAACCTTATAGGGCGGTCAGTAGATCGGATGAGTAGTTCTTCACTTCTGTTCAAGTCGTGCAGCTTATAACCATGACAACAACGGCAACGAGATGGTGAAAAAGAAAAGAAAATGGTTGTATGAGCAAAACAACAAATTTGCACGCGCATCGCGCTCTTTGGCACATTTCCTTGACGTCCACTGCACGACTATGACCTAAAAATTCGTAATGTGAAGTTTTATGTAAGACGTGAAAACACAACAATGAAATTCCGGTTCTTTTAAAATCCGTTTTAGACTGCCGCTGCCGATTCAATTCTGATTGGTTGAAAACATGGCACGAGACGTTCTAGCCAGTCAGAGAGCTTAGATATGCAAAAACAAAACACCTCTTGACTTCATTTCGACATGCGCTGTAAAAGATGTACTGAAAAGCACTTTTCTTAGTTGCCATTTATGCAGTAAAAGATTACATATGTATTTGTAACTATGCTGTTTAACCTGTAGTTGAAATCCTGTGACCATTTGCTTTGTCAAAGGTCGAAGTAGGTTTGTGAATCTCTTAGAAAAAGCCACCGTCATTAAAATATCTGAATATTTCTAAATTCAAAAGTTTGGTATTCGCCTTAGACCTTATATAGCCAGGGGAAATTTACGTTGCACCTACCTCCAGTTTTAGGTTGGTCAAAAGTTGTGTTCAGTAAAGGACCCGTAAACGAAATTGGTCGACTGGGCGGTAACTACAGGGAGGAGGAAAAAAAATTACGATTATTCTGCCTTCTTTTCATTGCAAAGTCATTCCACCATTCCACGATAAGCTTTTCTAACCATACAATGATATTTACGGTTTGTTGTCTTGCACAAGGCCGAAGTGTTTTTCGTCTGTTAATGAAATCTGAAATCCTTTAGTGCGACCATTCAAATGAAAGCTTCTGAGCAGTATATGTGTACTTTGCATAGGTATTGTTTATCATGATGTGGTCCTAAATTTTCAGTCTATGTATAACTTCCTGAAGTGCAACAATAAAATGAAAGCATAATACACTCTTTTTTTTCTATAAGAATATATTTTATAAGAATATCGAGGCTGAAATTTTCGAAATCTTAAGAATACTTTAAGAATAAACTCCAGGCTGAGATTTTGAAAAGGATAATTTCGTGTGGTGAAAATCTGTAAATACAATACAAATATACGTTTTCAATTTATTCCTTTCTTTAAACGGCAAAACTAGCTGACTATATTTAACAAAACTATAATTGATACCTTAATATATTCTAAAACGGAAATGTCATAAGCTTTTATTAAGAATAGTACAAGAATATTTACAGCCTAAAATCGGCGGAAAAATAAGAATATTCAGCCTGGCCCTGGAAAACAATATTCTTATAAAGAGTGTAATGCTTTTGATGAAAGCCAGTGAAGAGTAATACTATTGTAATAAGTACAGTAATAGTAGAGCTGAAACTTGCCGTTTGTTTGGTCTTAAGCAACCTTATCTCTTGTTGCAATCTTCTATTTTCCACTTGCAGCTACAAAGGCGAGATAGAAATAGGAAGAAACAAGAAGATGAGAAAGAGCTTTACATCTCATATAAAATGATTTTGTAGAGAAACAATCTTCATTATTTTTCAGAGTAATAAATTCAACTTGAATTTTTGTGCAACGAAAAGGAGACAAATACAGTTGCCTCTAAACCTTAATGACGTCCACCTACTTCAAGTATTCTTGAATCAGCTGTGGCACGCGCTCGACTTTCATCTTCAAGGCGATGTTTAAGCATCTCCATTTCAAACTATGCATGAAAAAGAGAAAATGAGTCTGGATTAAAGATGATCAGTTAAGGGTGAGCGGAGTGATCAACGCTAAGCTAGGTATTTGGGGGCGGGGCGGGGGGGGTGCTTGTGCCACCGGTTAACTTCTATTGTATCAACAATCTAGGAGCAAGGCTGTGCTCTAAGGAAAATTGAAGGGAGCCCAGTGCTCTGAAACTGTAAAATCTAGGGTGCCCAGCATATGATTTGTATGAAAAGTAATCTAGGAGTAACTAATACTCTGTACCTAGGTGCAATTCACAGGGCAGTAATTAAAGATGATAATAATTTCAAATGTTTACCTGCATCTCCTTCAACTTTTCGTGATTGTCAATTGAACTTTCTGAAATAAAATAAAATATAATATAATAAGAATTTATGGAGTTCATTTCTATAAGCATTCATCAATCCCGCCACTGAACGAAGTTCCTTGCACATTTTAGTTTGGCATTTTCGCAGGGGCTCTTTCTTTTCTTCCGTTCGTGCTCTAAACTTTGCCTGCAACGATTTCGCCCGTGACAATTCCTATTAGCCGTACCCCCCCCCCCCCCCCCCCCCCACCCCAAGGATGATGATAGTGTAAACCTCATTCCCAGGGCATATCTCGTTTAAAGCCATGGGAACAAGGGAACAAGGTTTTGTTGGCGTAGTATTCCGATTTACAAACTTTAGGGGGCGTAGTGGGGCACTATTTTGCTGATTTGACCAAGGGGGTGGGGTATGCAGGAAAGGCACTTATTAAAGGAAATACAATAACTGTTATGTTGTGGCTCAATTTCATCGATGGTTTAAGTTTTATTTTCTTTTGTTTCAAACTCGTTATCATTCATTACTATACCCAAAAACAAAAGAAAATAAAATTTAAACCAAGGAGAAAATTGAACCACAACAGTTATTTCACCTGTGCCGCTGGTGCGGTTGGCTGGTTCATCTTCCTCGCTTGCTAATGGTGAGCTTGTAGCTTGTGGTCTACTTGCAGCAGTCTTGAGCTGCAGTAAATAGGTAACATAAATTAACTTGCAAATTATTACAGACTAGGTAGAAACAAGGTGCAATTTTATTGTCCTATTTTGGCTAAAGTAATCCAAACTGATCTGAGATCAGAGCATCAAAGAACAGACAGGGTTGTCAAAAGTAGCCAGCTGCAGGCGAAAATCGCCACCTACTTGGTTAGTATTGGCCAGCTACTCTGCTTAACATTTTTTTACGGGTGGCGTTTTTTAAATAAAATATCCCTGGACTGGCCGCTTACTTTGACAACTCAGCCGTCAACTTCAAAACTTTCTGACAACCCTGAAGAGATTTACAATAATTGTATAGGGTCGTTTACTTTATGCTAGCTAGAAAAAATCTGAAATCAGGTAAAGGAATACCTTCTTTTTGGTAGGAACACCTCTCTGTGCAACCTCTTTTCCGAGTTTGTGTCTGAAAATGAGAAAGAAAGAAAATTGTTGAGCTTAATTAAATAACCCTAACCTTCCATTCACTCAACTGAAAAAATGCAAAAAGTAGCATTTTAGTTGAAATATGGGCTACAATCAGATGGACTGTGTGCATTGAAAATGGTAAGCGTCCCTGTGGCACATGAAGGAAAAAAGCTAAATACTTCTCCATGTACATACCTGTTTTTCCCTACCCTAGCAGCTGTTCTCCATGGAATGAATCCAGCAGAAGACTTTTTTGATACTACAGCTGCATTTTTGGACAAGCCAACTCTTTGAGGAAAGAAATGGATGCTCATGTTAATAGCATCTTCATGTACAAAACTCATTCGACTGAAACATTAAGGTAGCCAATCAACCTAGCTGCAAGAAAAACACTAGCCTGTATAGCTGGCGGTTTTTTGGTGTGTTTTTTCTTTAGTTGTTCACAAAGTAAGAGTTACAGCCGTGGGACGGCTGAACCGAGGTAGAAACAGAATAGGGGAGGGGTTAGGGGACAAGGCTCACTGCCTTCTTCCCTCCCCCACTCCCCTATCGTTTTCTTTCCTCGGTTCAGCTTTCGCATGCCTGAAACTCTTACTTTACCCCAACCACAAAAGCAAAAAACACACCAAAAAAACCGCCAGCTATGCAGGCTACAAAAACATTTTTCATGTTGTCAACGACATGCCCCAAATACACTATCTTGTTAATGATTCACATCACAGATGAAAACGGCAGGCCTTACCATCTGCAAAATCAATATCTGCCATTACTCCATAACTGGACTGTTTGTCAAAGGAAAAACTCACCTTCCTGGTCGATGTCCATGTTGTGAAGTCGCAGTTTTACTTTTAAATGGCCCCCCTCGCTTACGTGGTCTGATTCTTCCAGGTTTTGGTTCACGAATTACTAGCCAGGGATACTGAAGAAAGAAAACAGAAAAATAACTAAAACATTTTTTTTTCTTTAGCACTCTTTGCCATAACTTTGCTTACATTTATAAGAATGAGATTCAGAATCACATTCACAGCTAACAGGAAACGTCTCAAAACAGTCATTCACATACGTCTAATTCAGTGTCTCCTGTGTTTATCATCAGCTGCTCCATCAGTGATCCAAAAACCTCTCGTTCTGTGCAAAACAAGAAAATTTAGAAAAGCATTGATGAAAACTTTAAAATGAAGTGTTTTCATGTCTGTCCAGATAAGAATGACCAACCATTTTACAAACCATTGAATGCAAAAAAGGAGAACTTTTGATTGTCTGATTACTTCTGATTGGCTTAAACAAAAAGTTAAAACAATCATTCATATATTCATCTAATTCAACCATCTTCCATATAACAAAATCTGGTCTCAGTTTGAATAACAAAGAAATCCTATGTGGGGAACATGTAAAATTGTAAACTTTTCTTGGCTATTGTTTTCAACTCTTGTGATCTTGGTCAAAATCTTTTAACACAAAAAAACACCCAAACAAAGTGGAGTGTAAATGCGTTTTATTGCGTAAATGGCCTCCATGTAGGTTCATGCATTCTCTGTGTAAAAATAAGAACATTCCTATGTGGGGAAAGCACCGTTGCCGCATAAAAAAAGAAATTGCTATCCACCTTACCCAGATCATTACTTAAAATGATAACATTGCAAATGTGTTAATTCTTGTTTGCATATGGGTTGAGTTTGTTGTTGGCTCTCTCCTTTGTTCCAAAAGGTTTTTCTTGAGGTACTCAAGTTTTCAAAAACAAACATTTCCAAATTTTCATTGATCAAGAACACAGGGATGCATTTAAACATTAATTCATTCACACAGACAATCAAACTCAACCTACTTTTGAAATGACTCCTAGGTTCAAACCTTTCACAGCATTTAAATGAGTTCTTAAGAACTCCTAGCAAGTGCTTTGTGGGTGAACAAAATTATGACATAAAATAAAATACAAAAGACAACAGGCTGCACAGCACTAACCAATTAGAGGATTAAGTCTGAGGTCCAATACAGTGATTGTGGAGTTGAATTTTAGCACTGGTTGAAAGGCCATCGCTCCCTCAGTTGAGATACCACATTGCTGCATATCTAAAGCTGTACAGGTAGAGAAGGTAAGATAAGGTATCAAAATAAATAGAATTTATATCAAAGGGGCCATAACTGGTGAATTTTCTTTTAGTTATAAGTGTAGCATGATAGCCCAGGGGGGTTACTGATCAAGTTGCCTCTAAAGGTATTTTTCCCCTAAGTAATGTCCTCTTAAATCCCATAGTTGTACCACTCAAATTTATGTTGAGAGAAATGGCCATGAAAACTTGGAGGTACCTACAATACAACTGTCAGTAATTATTAATCAATTTATTGTATTCAGTGGTTTTTTTTCAGTCTTGAAATTTTATATAGGAATATTAAGCATTGAGGGCACATACAGTTGTAGCTTTGTAAGGAGGCTTCAGATAAATATTCGGGAGACATAATCAAAACAATATTTTGGCTCACTATCTAAAATTTTAAATTTTAAAGAATTTTAACCTTTGACCCAGAGGTCATCTTTTAATGCCTCAGCTATCAGCTCAGCTCCACGATCATTGATAAGTGGATTTTTACAAACTGTTATACGGCGAACTCCAGGCATTCTATCCAGATCTGGGCGGCGATATCGCAGGCTGTCTTGCCATGCAACACTGTGACGTCTTGTGGCTTGATGCTAAAATGATGAATGTTTTTAATGGTGGTGAGACAAATCAATGGCAATGCAAGGTGTAAGTTGATTATGTGTTCGTGACCATTTCAGTCTTAGACCAACTTATAGCAGGATAACTTGTCACAGTGATCTAACTATTAAATCTGTGATTAAATAATTCTAACTCTTTTGTAGAACTTTGCATACCGTGTAGTACTATTTATTTCTTTGGATTGTACAAACAGAAATTTGGAATTTTTGTAATTTTTTTACACCGGCCAATAACTTGAGTGAAAGGGTGGTTGTTGGTCAGCCCCTGCTCACATACTGTGGACACAAGTACATTGTAATGAAATAAAAATAGATAAAATAAATAAAAATTACCCGTATCACTTTAGCCAGGGTGTCGGCTCCTCTCCATGTAAGACTACAGCCAGTGAAGTTTACAGTTATCACAGATGTATTATTTTTTATCGCATAGCAAAGAACTACAAGATAACAGAAAAAAAATTAATTAGTGCATACAGCTCTACATGTTGTATATAGGTAGCCTGAGAAAACAGCCAACATTTGGCAATACTATCACCGGTTTCCCCACCAAATGACGTCTGCGTAACGAGCGCAGAAATTCCATACTGATGACACATCACTACTCAGATCTGGTAGTGCTTCTGATTGGTCATGCCACATGGGAAATTTGATTCAACCAATCAGAAGCACTACCCAGATCTGGGTAGTGACACGTCATCAGTATGGAATTCCTGTGCTCATTACTCAGACGTCATTTGGCGGGGAAGCCGGTGGTAGTGTTGCCAAATGTCGGCTGTTTTCTCAGGCAAGTATATAGGCACTTTTTACCATCTTCACCAAGGCTGTGGTTTAAAAACAAATTGTAGGTAACAGTGATTTGACCTTGTTAAATACAGGTGCCCATAGCAGCATACTGGGCTACCAGGCACTGCTGGAACAAAGTCTATTCAGTGTAACCCTACTAGAAATAAATTTGCAGGCTATTAATTTATTGGCAAGTAATCTAAAAAGCTATCATAAGCCACTTACTGGTACATGTAAGTACATTGTATTTTTTCACTTACTGTCTACACCACTATCCCCAATTTGGCAAAATTCTAGTGACAGATGTTGTAAAGTTCTGTTTTTTGTAATACCCTAAAACAAAAAAGCCCAGGTTAGAAAATGCATGTAGCATAATAAATTGTTAAGGAAGATACATGACACTGAAATGTACTCAAAGTGTTAAAAAGTAAATTTATGCCAAATATCTGGACTTCAAAGGTTAAAGGACAATTTATTCCAAAAGCAATAATTCATATCTTAAACAAAATTGAAAAACATAGCAGTTACCTTTGCCAAACAAGCCAGGTCTCTTTCTCGCAGAGGAATTCCTTGAAAAATTATCTTATTCAGGTTTTCAGTGACACATAAGCATTCTTTGATTGTCCTGAAGATTCAAAATTGAGTAAAGACTTTTTATACAAGTAAATGACTCAGAACAATATTATTCATAATAATTATACAGATTAAATTCTTTATTTATTTGCTTATTTAGGGTTTTGTGAAACAGTATACCTGCAGACACGATAAGTGACATCCTTGCTGCGAATTGCCGGAGCTTTCTTCCTCAACGCTTGTAAACGCTGTTCGGAAACTTCTGCAGATTAAGGCCATATGAAAGTCACTAGTAAGTGCAAACTGTAATCACAGCAGTGAACACAGAATAAATTCTTCCCACAAAAGGACTTTGTCATTGGCTATTATTAAGGTCACATGACAAAACATAAGACAGTGAACTTTTCTTCCACCAATCAAAAGAGTACTGTGAATATCTGTCTGTGAATGTTGACCACTGCCTACCAGTAGTGTTGTTTTCTTTTGGATCACATCCTATTACCATCTCCATGTCCCATTATCTGACTGGAAGTAAATATACACAGTACACACATACAGTCCAGGTTATGGAAACCAATAAAGTCAAATCTCTTTTAGGAGCAACTTAGGAATGCCAAGCTACTTGTCAGAATGCTTTAAGGAATGAGGCATAATATAGTAGGCACTTTGCTCTTCAAGAGAGGTGTACATTTAAATAAGTGGCTGGGTATTCTGAAGTTTAGCCAACTTCATGTCATCTGGCGGCTGGTTTTCACAAGGGACAGAATCAGATTCAGAATCATAAGCAGAAGCATAGAGCGTTATGATCTTATGAATACTGCATTCTGATTCCGCTTTCGACTGCATCACTTTAAGTCTAGTGAAAACTGGGTTGTGAGATTCGCAAGCAGAAGAGGAAGAACTTAACCAATCACAAAGTGTGGGAATTAGCATTGTAATAATTGGTTTATCATTCCGCTTCTGCTTCTTCACTAAATTGTAAGAGACAACAGATTCATAGGTGGAGTCGGAAGATAACACAAGTGTTCTGATTCTCCTGATTCCAATTTTGTCAAGCCTATATCTCGGCTTACGACTCCAATTTTTTTTTTTATTTTCACTCGGTCAAAAGCACTCCATGGCGAGCCGCAAGCCTTAGCGACCGAAATATGGGGGAAAATTTGTCCCCCATCTGACCAGGAAGCCATTGTTTAAATTCAGCCAAGCATAGACCGTTGACAGCTTGAAACCATACTTGAGGTGAAATGCGAATCTCCTTTCGTGACCTCCTACTGAAGCTTTATTCGACATATCTTTCAATGGATCATTTTAGCAGACACTACAGAAATAATAAAGCTGAGCTGATGAGACGAACACAACTAAAGAAAAGAACCTGGTGAAATAAAAATCACTCCGAAACAGCGCACCACTCGGAAAACTTGTGGCGGTGTAGAGGAGTTTTGCACAAATTATCTAACCGGGGATACCTCAGAATCAATATGCATTTATTTACCACAAATGAACGAAGTGCAGCGATTTAAATAAATTTGATTGAATTTAAACTGTAAATTTAAATAATTTTCATTGTAGCTTTTTCTGGGGAGCAGAATTTAAAGCGGGACTACTCCCTTTTTTTTAGAAAAGGCCGGTGAAGTTTTCTATTTCATCCTGTTCGCGGCGTAAAAAAGGCTCTTATATTTTTCTTATAATACAAACTTGTAAGGTCACCTATATGATGTTCATTAATTATGACTGAAACCATTTATTTCGTTCAAAACGGACTTGCGAGCCATAACGAATAAAAACCAAGTTCCCTTGCACTAAGCGAAGGCGACACACCCGATCGCTTGCTTTTTCAGGCGACTCACCCAAAAGAGCACGTGCAGACGGAACTTTGGTCATTGTTTTGAATCCGAAGAATAAGTTCAATTGCGAATTTTACAGCGTCTAGTTGAAACGCAATTCTAGCAATCCCCAAACAAAATAAAAACATATTTGGCAAGACGTTTCCAAAACTATTTTTCAAGCTTTCTAGGCCGCCTCGTTCTTTACAGAAAGATTCATTAAATATACACGTTTTACAAAGTCTTCTTGCACTAAGCGAAGGCGACTCACCCGATCGCTCGCTTTTAATCAGGCGACACACCCAACATAAAAGGCACGTACAGAATACCCTGAACCATGTACATTTTATGAATCTGTTTTAGTTTCGGTGAATTAAAGCTCTCTGGCTGTTAATGAAAAATAATAGAGACCGTAAAGGTTCTTGCAATGGTGTTTTTTTTTTTTGAAAAACAAATAGGGGGGAACCGCGATGGACGCAACCAATCAACCAAAATTCATTTCGATTCCCCGGTAAAAATTATAGAAAAGAAAAAGAAAGCTGCTAAGATTCAGAGACTTACAAATAACGAGCAAACACTCAACCCCCTCTCTGTAACACGAGCATGTGTTATTTTTAACGCGTTTTAGTCACTCATTTCGTTGTTGATCAAAATCAAAAGCTTTTGTGAGGTTTATACTTCGAATATCCCTTATTTATGGTTTTGTAGCACAATTTGCCACCAGTGGGAGTCAGTTGGCCTATCCGATATACTACTAGGAAAACGATTGTTTTCATAGGCAGTGAACGCATTCAACAATGCAATACTACGCATAATTACAGACTACAAGATAATTTTCTCATTAATTCAAACAAATTAAAGATCTGAGCGTGTAACGACAACAATAAATCGCACTGGATCATGATGTAGCATTTAAACTTCGGCAACAAGCAAAACAGCGGTAAAAAGATAAAATATGTAGCAATTTGGCCGCTAAGTGTGTACGTGTATTATGAAACACAGATGTCTACAATTTTCAACACATTCCATTGTTTATCCAGAAAATATAGCACGAAATTAATAATAGAAAAGCTTTTCGACTTCTTTATAAGGGTACTTCTTGCAGTAACACAAAAGTGCCTCCAGTGGAAGTTGTGCTGGGCCTGTTTCTTCCTAAACACTGTACGATCACTCCCGAGCGCGCCACATTAAATTTGGCGGGCATTTAGGAGGTTTTGGCGCGGATATATTCGAGGCAGAAATAAATAAATTAAAGAAAAAAAATCGAACATTGTCCTTACCTTCAAGGTGTCTTACGATTAAGCAAGTCATAAAAAAAAACAGAATTAATGTGTCACAAAGTAAACCTACTGATTTAAGGCTGAAATGGCCTCGCTTCTGAAAGTGAACCAATGTGACGAAGGAAGGCTGGCCATCTCAGTTTGGAACTCTGCTAACCTGTTCGATCTGTTAAAATTTTCTTTCAAATACCAACAAGCTTCTAAGGGAAATGAGTTTGAATCAACACAGAAATTCTCGACCGGGATGCCCTAAAAAAGAATTCACATATACTCCATACAATGATGGCTTGATTGGGATGATCCGATCCGGAGAATAGTTGAAAAGACCGCGCTCGACTATATTTACCCCGGCTAATACTGTTTTAACCATATTACCAGACAGTGGCGAAATTTAGGATTGTTTCATCGCCTCTGTGAAAATCCCTATCGATGACAGCCAGTCTGACCCCTACTAGCCTGCACGAGATCGGAGGTAAAATTATAACAGGAAATTGAGCATAGCAACCGTCACTCAGCGTAATTAGTAAAGGGACTTTATGCGGCTCCTCATGTCTTAATATGACTCCCCTACGTGTTATGATTCCAACTTCGAATCAGTCGCCAGTGAAAATTAGCCTTTTTTTATAGAGACACCTATGTAAAGCGGATACTTGGTGTCTGCCCCTTTGATGTCCATGAGTTTGGTTGTACCGGTAATTGGTAAAACCGGTATCTGGCTTCGAAAGAACAAAACAAAACTCATCAGTAATCTTACCTCCGTCTGGATAAAGTGTTTGCTGCCAATAGCTCCTAAAGGCCACAATTTTCAAAGTCTTATTGATTTTCAGAGCGTTCAGGATCGGTGTCCAGTCACTATGCCGAATTCGATCAGCATTGCAATCAATAGTGAGTTCATCAAGATTTGCAGTTATCGATCCTAGAGGGCAAGAGTTCTGCAAGGCGCAAAGGTTATCGTAGCAAGACGCGAAGTCTGTGGAGTTTTTCTGCCGCTGACGAACTGTTTCAATCATAGTCATATTTGGCGCCCTTTTCTTTCCACCAATAAACAAGTGAACCGTTCAAATGTTGACCTTGTATTAAAACTAGGATAAAATCCTTGAGCTACAATCTTCCCCCAGATAATCGATGTTTCAAAAGATACAAAACAGATCGAGGAAATACTCCATGTTCTTTATAATACTATCAACGGTCTTCCTTTCGATTTCTTTCTCTTGTTATTGACGGGGAACGCGGGCTCAAGTCTGAGCACAGAATCCTTTCGGTCAGCGTTACAAAATGCAGCTCTAGTACGTCATGTATGACAAAAGAAGTGTATCAAATATTATCAAGATGGCGCATCTTAGCAGTGATCCTTCATTAAAAGAAAGGTAGGATTCGATGTATTCTCTGCAGTATCTCTTCCTGATTTCGACCTTGTTAGTTCATTTGTATTAATTTTGTAAGGTTTCCTATTTCAGGTGGATTATAGTTTACCCGGCGTATTTAAATAGCCGAAGAACCGTTGAACAAGGTCGACGTGTTCCAAAAACTAAGGTACGGAAGGTTCGATTCAATAAACGTGGAGAAGAACACGCAGATTCTTCTCACTTATATACCTAGCGGTGACTTTTCTTTTTATCATATTCTTAACTTTAGCCTTATACTGTGACTGGAAAAAGTCGACATATCACAGGCGGCCCAGACGTAGTATGTGTCACTGAATGAATATATTAATATCCACATGGACAAATTATTGCGATGAGTCGTCGAAACTCCCATGGACTAAAATAGTCTAAAAGTCAAAATATAAGAAAACAAAGCTAAGATACCTTCAACTGAACGTATCCTTGTCTTTCCTGGCCAGTTTAAGCAGCATTTTGTTGAGTTTTGAAATTGTAGGTACTATCCACTAAAGAAGAATTAAAGGCTGGCTACAAAACAAACAGACCATCTCCACGCGCCTTCACACGAAGCGCTATAAATTCGAGAATAATCGACGAATCCGCTCCAAATAACCATCTGCTAATCTGCAGGTAACGTGTGCTCCTGCTTCTGGCTCGCTTGCTCCACAAAACCCATCGCAACTGCACAATAATTGCTCGCTCATCAACAACCACTGTTGACCTTTACGCGTCGATATGACCGCAAACGACCAGGTTTAATACGCGACGTGACGCGACGTGAATATTCAAGCTTAGCGACCGCGTTCGCGGAATAATGCAGCACTTGTTATGGGAGGGATGGTACTATTGCTTCTAGGTCAATCAATCGGGAAAATAATATTGAAGCCCATGTAATTTTTAAAAAGATCCAATTTGCCCAAGGAACACCGAACAGATACGAATCTTATAGCGGAGCTAAAAAAAATGAGCGGCAGTGGAAAAAGTGAACAAGAACATATACCACATTTTCTCCATAAAAAGTGAAAACCAGGAAGTTTTCTGGACGTTTCACGTTGCAGTCATGCAAATCAACGGCAAGGAAATGTACAAGAAAGTGTGCTACAATTAGACCTATTGTTGTTTTTCACAGTTCTGGTCAAGGGCATCCAACTTTTAATTTTTCACATTTCACTCACCGGGTTAGGCTATTTTTCGTATAGAGTAAAATGGAATCCTAAAATTTTCGGATTCAAAAATGTGATGAAAGAAGGTATCTGAAAAATTATCTCCTTCGTAATACGTTAAATTGCATCTAAAATTTTCGGGAAAATAATTCTGAATTCCTCGTAATTTCGAAAAGACTCAAGTTCCTCTAGAATGGCCGAACACTGAGATGCAAATTTTATAGCGCCACTTAGAATGCATTTCTATAGAGCTAAAAGTACTTTATGAATAGCTACAGAAGTGTTTTCAATTGAAAGTATTTGAGGAAACAGTCGTTGGGTGGCCCTGTCTCGTTGCCTTCTCCGCTTAGCATTACACGATATATTTTATATTTAGTATGAGCAAACTATAAATCATTAGCTTCGCTTTTAGCCCTCCTGACTAAATTTATGTAAGCGCTGTTTAGAATGCATTTTTCGATCAAAAGTACTCTGGACAGCCTTAAATGTGTTTTCAATGCCTTTAGGGGGAAATCATCGTTAAGTGCCGGCCCCTGAGTTTTGAGAATAATAATAATAATAAAAAAAGATATCGCGCACATAAATTTTACTTTACGATATCTTCAGCTGTATCTTCTATTCAGCTGCATAGCGGGGGCCAGATTTTGCCTTTTTCCTGGGCGGAAAATTCTCGTCCTCCTTCACCAGTTTGGACAACATATTATGGAGTAAGACGTTGTTAATCTAAGCAAATAAGTCTGGTAGTCAAGAACCTATGCAAGCGGCTGGACGAACAATGTGACAGCAGCTGAGACAGCGAACGTTAGAAGAATTCGAACTTGAAAACCAGGGCTGCCCTGTTGAAAACTTACGGACGGTCCCGCAATCGCCTTTTGTTTTCTGGTCAAAACTAACGCAGCTAACCTTCGGTCAGTCGATTGACCTAGAAGCAATAGTACCATCCCTCCCATAGCAAGTGCTGCATTGTTGCGCGAACGCGGTCGCTAAGCTTGAATATTCACGTCGCGTATTAAACCTGGTCGTTTGCGGTCATATCGAAGCGTAAAGGTCAACAGTGGTTGTTGATGAGCGAGCAATTATTGTGCAGTTGCGATGGGTTTTGTGGAGCAAGCGAGCCAGAAGCAGGAGCACAGGTTACCTGCAGATTAGCCGATGGTTATTTGGAGCGGATTCGTCGATTATTCTCGAATTTATAGCGCTTCGTGTGAAGGCGCGTGGAGATGGTCTGTTTGTTTTGTAGCCAGCCTTTAATTCTTCTTTAGTGGATAGTACCTACAATTTCAAAACTCAACAAAATGCCGCTTAAACCGGCCAGGAAAGACAAGGATACGTTCAGTTGAAGGTATCTTAGCTTTGTTTTGTTATATTTTGACTTTTAGACTATTTTAGTCCATGGGAGTTTCGACGACTCGTCGCAATAATTTGTCCATGTGGATATTAATATATTCATTCAGTGACACATACTACGTCTGGGCCGCCTGTGGACATATTGGCTGACAAAAAAAAGCTGAACAGTTCGCCGATCACATCTGTTCCTCTATTGTTTTAGTGTTGGTATGACAGAGTCACTTGGTTTTTTGACTTGGACAAGGCCAATGCGTGAAATTAGAGCAGTTTAAACCACTTGTCTTTACATATGGCTTTTTCTTTGTACTTGTAAGCATAATGAAAAATATAATGTGAAATTGTAATTGTATACATTATTAGTTAATATTTATTGCTAGTAATAAACCCACTTGTTTATATAAGACACAAGCAAGGTGAAAATCAGCTGAAACAGATGTCCTCTTTAAATTCTGTGATAAATTGCTACTTACCTTGAATGTAAGCAAAAAGGTTTCTCTTCAATGGTCACATCAAGGAAAACTTGAAAGAATATTGTTGCACCCCCATTGTTGCTCTATGGACTTTTCCAGTTCAAGTAGCATTTACTCCTTCATTATATTGAAGCCAAATATATGATGTTAAAATAATGAAAGTTAACTCTTTACTACCGTATAAAATTATGATATAATTATGGTATTTTTAGATAACAGGATTTATTTTTGTTGTTAACATGTTCATTTAATGAACTGAAGTGCTGAATTACTGGTAATTTGATTAGTATCATTTTATAAATACAATATTTTTATGCATCTGCACAGGCAGCTGATAACCCAACAGTTCATGAAATAAGGGATGTCTGCCAAAGTCAAGGTCTCAACTGTGAAATAGAGGTAATGTTCAGTTTTGAGTGAGCACAAAAGTCTTATCAGGTCTTGAAGCTGCCTAGTAAGTTGCAGTGAAATATTTGGTGCATCTGATTTACATCCTGTCAATTTAATTTTTTTTCTCAGAACAAATATTATCCCAGAGACAGTGCTAAAGATGCCATGTGCAGAGGTCGGGTGAGAGTGCAACTAAAAAACAGTGACAGCAGCTTCGTCAATGAAAAATTTCAGTCAAGTAAGGTTGACACTTGTTATAGTAGAATATAGTGTGTAGATTACATGTACATGCACTTTAAGCTAATTATTGCAGCCCCATCGCTAGTTCTATATCAGCTTCCGTTTCCCTTATACTTCAGCATACAGCTAGACAATTAATACTGTCTAGTATGTGTGGTCACAAGTCTTTCCTTGTAGCTCAGTTGGCTAAGCTGCTGATCTTTGGGAAGTCATAGATTCAAATCCTGTCAGCAACTAAGCTTTTCTTACATTTTCATATGTTTCTAAAACAATTAACGGCAAAACAGCCATATTCTCGTGCTGGTGATACAATTATATTCTACATCTTTAATAATCTTTGTCTGGAGCAAGACTGAAAATAGAGGGAAGACAGGGAAGAGGATTTTCTTCCATTGTTGCACACCTACCAGGCCCCTCACATTCAACCGTGGTGATCATTTTAAAACCTTTTGCAAACAGTGATTCTGTGAAAAAAAAAAGCATGACCATTAAGCAGCGATATGATTTTTTTCCACGTGATGGAGTCTTTCATCAGATACCCAGACATTGGCAAATGGGTTAGAAAAGGAGACACAGTCGAGTTGTTAGACTGAAAAAAAAATCTTCTAATGACATCAGCTTTGCATGGGTTAGCAACTTCCTACATAACAGAAATGTTGAAACTCTACAGACCATCAAGAAATTTAAGATCTGCTTCTAAGAAACTCCTGACAGTACCATTAGCTAAGTTGAAGGGTTATGGCTGTCAGTCGCTCTAATTTGCAGTACCTAAACTATGGAACTCATTGCCATAATCTGCCCGCCATCATTATGATCATGCAAACATTAAGACTGCTATAAAAACTCCCTTATTTCCCAGGCATTTCAGTTAAAGTACGGTAGTAATGTATATGATGTAAATAATTATTTAGTAGTTAGTTTATACAGATTTAAGTTTTAGTATTTATGTTTGTGATCACTAAATGTAAATTTTCATTACATTATTTCTATTTATAATAGTTATTTCTTTGTAAAGTGCCATCAGCCCATGGATATGGTGCTATTTAAATGCTCTTATTATAATTTAATATTATCACTTGACTTTATTATTAGGAAAAGCATTATTTCAGTTCATTGGTGAAATGATCCCAAAGTTGAAGAGTCGTCAAACCAAGTCTTCACAAAGTGATAGTTCCAGCCAACAGCAAGGAACTGCAGCAAGCTCCAAGAAAAAGAAAGGGAAAAAAGGCAAAGGGAAATAATATTATTTAAACCATGCAATACATTTAACTGTAATTCTTAAAACCCAAATTATAATTAAAACTTATGTTTGAATTATGATAGAGTGGTCTTCTTTGAAAAGAGGGGTACAGGGTACCAGGGTTCGTGTAAAAAATTGAAACCACTTTTAAAGGTTTTTTCAAGGACCACATTTGATTTTCAAGGACCATCTACAATGGATTTAATTTCACAGATTGTACAAAAATGCACATTCCCAGTCCATTCTAACGGGACTTTAAGGCTAAAAATGTTTGCTCCATCAACTTCTCTCTATATTTTTCAGTTCACTGATCTGAAATTATTGACATTAAAATCTTACATAAAAAAAAATGCTTTATGTAAACCACCATTAACTTCTCTGGGCTATGACTCGTATTCCGGTTCTTGGACAACAAAGAGGCATTGAAAAAAATTGAAGACAATTCAAGGACTTGCACAGAAATTTAACGACTTTTCAAGGAAAAAATGAAATTCAAGGACTCTCCCTAAAATTCAAGGAGTTTTCAAGACTGGGAGAACCTTCGGTACAGTGAATTTTCCATTTTTGTAAGGTGAATTCTCATTATTGGGAGGTACATGTAAAACACATGAACGTCAGTCTCTAGTGCTGTTTTGTCTCATTGTCTACGTGACCTCAGAGAGAAAGCTTGATAAAGCTCAGGTACAGTGTATCTGTCGTTTAGTAATTATTGGGAGGTATGTGTAAAATACATGAACATCAGTACTCTAACAAAATTGTCTCTAGTGCCGTTTTTATCATTTTGTGTCATTGTCTACATGACCTCAGAGAGAAAGCTTGATAAAGCTCAGATACAGTGTATCTGTCTTCTAGTAATTATTGTTTTCTCTGGCAGTCAAAAATGATTAAGTTCTTTCAAAAAGATACTTAACTATGTCTGGTACCAACAGTGCCACCTATTAAGTTTCTGGGTTGAAGCTGGCACATGGATGTGTGAATGTTAAAAGAATCATCACAGTTTCTTGTGTATAGTTTTAATTTTTTATTTGTCTGGCAGTTCTATACATATAATAAGTGACTTTTATGTACATGTATCCAGTATATTTTCAAAAGTCATTACTGAGCGGCTACTTTCGTGGTCTGTATTTAACTGTATAAGCAAGGTGGGTCCTGTTTGGATGTAGGAGTACTTTAAGTCATTAGAAGAGGGGATAGTCCGTTGGTCAGCATAGCTTACAGTGAGATTGTTGATGACACATCTGACCAGGCATTAGGCAGGTTCACCACAACCCTGTTATCAGAAGGTACAGTTGACCTCTGGGATGCAACAGCACTCTTGTGTGGAATGGGTGATACCATAGGAGATTTCCTCCCATGTTCTTTTGCAGTGTCATGCCCTTCACCAGCAACTGGAGGCTCTTTGAAGTGAACGTGAGGGGAACTTGGGCGTGGTAGTTGCACTGAAAGAGGAAATCAAAAGTCTGTTATTACCTGAAATGTATATTGACCTGCCTGCGAGGCTATGTTGAGAACAATAGAGTAACAAGAGTGCACTCACACAGGGGACCACATAGCTAGATATTACAACAAGTTCTGTAACTGTAATTATTGTCAAGAAACTTGAGATATTGCTTCTTGGATACAGATAGAATTCTGATAAGTTAGGGTTTTCCACAACATACAGTGTAATGTCGCCAGTACCCATCTTTTTTACCCGGGTGATGAGACTGAGTAAGCACTGGTTCTGGTCTTATATTTTATATTTTTATAGAATACTAGAAAAGACTCGGGGCTATCACTAAGGGGGGAGGAGGGTGGGATTTCTATCAGCCTCTATGAGGGTGGCCCCTGGCAACTTTCAGTGGAAACAATAGGAAAATTGAACTAAAATGTTCAGTTCCTCACCCATCAAGTTGCGTATAGACTTGCAAATTGCTGCCAACTTAGCCTGCATAGCTGGTGGGAAGTCACGGGGGTGCAGAGCCGCACAGGATTTTCGCGAGCGGCGACTTGAAATCTCAGTGACAGCAGACAATGGACTAACAATGGACTCTACCGGTGTACTTTCACAATGCTGAACAAGGTCAAACAGTTTTGGCCGTAAATGAATTTTGAAGATCGTGGACACCTTGTACTTTACCTTCTCTTGTTTCTCCTTTTCCCTGTCCAACTGGCACTAAACTGCCAACATTCTGATCACCTTTAACTGCCAGAGTCTTCTGCCTGTTTGCCAGGTTCTGAAGCCGTTCACGTAGCTGATGACCAGCAGGGAGACTCCCAGCCATTGTTCTAGAAAACGGTGCAAAGCCATTGGGCTTTAGTGGATGTTGTGGTCTTACAGATGGCACAGCATCATTTTGCTGTGAAGGCTGGTGCTGATGCTGATGTAGTGTATGAGATGTTTTACCAGGTGGTATACTGACAGCTTGTACTGTATGCCCTGGCGCAGAAGCTGCACTACGGGGCACTGCTTCAGACACAGTTGTGAGTCTGACTCCTTGTGAAATACTTGATGGTTGTGTTGGCTCCAAGCTCCTTGACACAGCCTTTCCAAACTGTGTTTGCAAAAGTGTACCGCTGACAGATTGCCCTGGTGGATGCTGATGAGAACTGTATAAAGGAGCTGTAGATGTGACTGTAGTGACATGTACAGGTTTGTTTCCCAAAGGAAGAGCTGTGGAGGTTCCTGAGACCCCTACAGTACTACTTGTAGGGACTGATTCCTGTCTTGGTTGAGAAACAGTGGACATTTCCATGCCACCAAATTGTATCAGTTCACTTCTTCCAGAGGGAGCTGTGCCCGTGCCTTCACTTCTACTAATGAGTGAGGTAGATTCATTTCTTACTGGAGGGACAGTTGACGTTGCCAAGGGCACAGCCACACTACTGTGATGAGTTGATTGATTTCTTACAGGCAAAACACTAGGTCTTTTTCCAGGAGCACTAGGTATAGACATTTGGGGCACAGACAAGGGAGCCTGGCTGGGTGGGTACATGACAATGTTTGAACTTGGCTGGTTATTACTAGTCACTCCATAATGCATGGCGCTAGGTGGAACAGAATTATTATTGTATACCAAAGTCGCATGTCCATTGTGGGGTAATTCATGATCAGGAACCGACATCGGAGCTACAAAACGTTGTTGGCCATTTGCATTCCCTGTGGTGACTTGAACATTTGACTGTACTGGAAGATGGTGATTTCGAGACTGGTTAACCTGTTGCAATGATGAATGTGATCCCTGGGAATCTGCAAGTGGAATGAATGAGGGTTGTTTCATAGTGTCACTATGACTGTGTTGTCGCTGGTTGTGTCCGTGAGAAGACCCTTGTGATGTAACTGTTCCATGCGTGTGAGGCTGTTGAGCTGTATTTTGAGCCCAGGGCATTGGAACCCTAGGCAGGTACTCCAAGTTATGATTTTCACTGGCCTGATCTAAGGCCCCTCGTTTCAAGGCCACAGGGTTCAAGTTATACAGCGTGTTTATACTGCTTGATAATTCCTGATATTCATGGCTCTTCAGAACAGCAAAGAGTTCTCTCTGGAAATAAAATGAAATACCACTCAACTCTCTCAAGTCTAAGTCATGTGAAAGGTGAACTAAATTAAATGCATGTGCATTCAAATGATACCTTTAAATATTGCAGCTGTTCATCTGTGGTTTTCCTGTACTCCAGAAGCTCTTGTTGTAAGGCCAAGTTTTGCTCTTGAGTGTGAAGTATATCCTACATAGGAGGGAAAAGTATGAATGATCACATTTACATGGTTACCACAGCCAGAGGTTTCTGAAATTCCCTGATTTTTCCCTGATTTTTTCCTAACAAGTGTAAAATTTCCCTGCATGACCAATGGAATAGACAGTTTCAAAAATTAGTCCTGATAATGGACTGGACGCTCCCCAGCAACTTATTGTGGTTGGCTCATTGGGTCATTGACTGAGTTAGCAGGGCCCTGGACCATGTATGGAGTGTGTAGTCCTGGATAAAACCGTGGTTGAGCAATATTGGATCGGAGGCAAGATTTTGTTAAATAAGTGTGAAGAACTTTATCAAGGCCATATCAAGTGGATGGTCTTAGATCAAACCTAGGCTGAGGTCCCACAAAAACCTGCAAAATCCTGCTGAATGTGCTTGTAGAACTAAACATGACCTGCTGGTAATGGATACTTTAAATTTTAGGAGGGTCCATCCACAAAGATAGAAATACTTACATTGGTCAAGGCGTCGACCAAAACCCTTTGTTCTTCAAAACCCTGGAGTACTTGCTCTCTCATGATCATTTCTGCTTTACGTTGAATTTCACTCTATAAGAAAAAGAAAAAATACTTTGCATATAATGAAGGCTTCATGTAATGTAGAGCTAATAACTACCTTTTTTCCAAAACAGAGGTTAACCAAAGCATGGGAGTAACCGGTTACCCCAAAAATATACTTACAAAAAAAAAAAAGCATGACAATGTTTTCATTTTAATTTCAATTTAAAAATATTCTTTTTACACCTTTCCATGAAGAAAAAAAAACATTTGTATTTTTTTACCTAACTCAGTTTAATGACACAAAATGCAGACTGGTTTGTTGCTGTTCGCACTATTTAAATACTCCTCTCAATCTTACATTATCCTTGCTTCGACATCTGCAGTAATTAATCTACCAAACAAAATGTTTATTTTCCATGACTTTCCAGAAGTGGCAATTAAATACCATGATTTTCCAGGCCTGGAAAATGAATTTATTAAATGTGATTACTTTACTGGTTTTCCATAACCCGTCAAACCCCTGTGGATAAATAAAACATTCTGTACCTCCTTCAAATAACCCATCAGCTTGGTGACAGCAGTGATGAGTGAAGCTGTATATCCACTGAAGGATCCAGAACCAGACAATGTGGAAACATGAGTTGGTGGTCGGCCTGTTTCCATTTCGTACGCTGCTATCTCATTTTCCAATTGTTCCACCATCTGTCAGAGGAGATTTTAAGAACTCTCTGAACCTCAAAATTACAAAAATAACTCTTCTCTCACCTCAAGATGACTTAAAAATGTCAGTAAAAAAGGGGGAAAACCTCCGGTTTTACTAAATTTCCTTTTGGACATTTTTAACCTTATGAAAGCCATTATAGTATCGTTAACTTGACACTGTATGAAAAACCTATGAAATTAAGCCCTATCATCATATCGCATGTACATTTTATGTAATAATTCAAACCCGGGCCAGACCAACACTCAGGGTCTTTACATTAAATAACTAAAAAGAAAGTGCTGCATTTGTAATGACATCTGCAAATTGGTTAGACTTTTTAGTCTTCTCTGATAACGACCAAAAAACATAGGTCCTTTATTCCTAAAGCACTTTCACTTATCTGGTTCTTGTCAGTGGGACATAAAAGAACCCTCACCAACCATTTCTGGGATGGGTGTGTTATCTGTAAGGATAGATCTTAATGTAGCAATAACCTCATGATCCTCCTTCAGGTGTCATGCTAGCTACCTGTAAACAGTGTACTATATAAATCTCACCTTTTTTAAGTCATCAAGACTTCGTAAGGTAGTTGCACCTGCACTTGCTGAAGAATTCAGTGTTGGTTTGTGACTCACTGCACTGTTAGCTGCCTTCTCAATTTTGCTGGGCCTTTGCTCAGTTATTTCTTTGTGACTTTGAGAATACAATGTAAAAATTTACACTATTATAAGACCATTTTAGAAAAAAAGGGCTTTAACCATAAAATTTCTGTTAATTACAGCTAGGCCTTGCACAATTGAATCAGGAAAAAATGTGCAGCTACAGTAGTATAAATTGAGTACAAGCATAATAACTATCGGCTGATTAAACATGGGGTTCCCAACTTGACCCCAGCCTGAGCGGCTGCAAAGAAGACCAACTGGCCTAGGGGAAGACAATGTGGACATTTTGTTTTCACAGCGTTTGCTTGGTATGACAATAATATTGTCATGAGTCTTTGCATTTGAAGTATTCTAACTTCACAGTCATGGTTTTTACCTGGATGAAGGTCTTGAGTTTGGTTGAAAGCCGTTGCTTGTCGTTGACTCTGCAGTGAACACCACAATAAACATAATCAAGATTCAGTGAAATCCCTTAATGGTTTCAGTTTACACAAAATAGTAAAAAAAATGAATAGTACTAGTTAGAGGAGATAACCTGATGTTAGAGTGGTTGGTTTCTTTTGAATGGCAACAGATTACGATTTTGCCCCATAAAACAAAAGTCACTACATTACGAGTCTCCAAAATTGATTAAGTGAAAAGGATAAGGAAGGAAAATTTGTAGGAGCTTTTTGTTGTTGTTGTTGTCGTTTTTTTTTTTTTACAAGAAAATGAAAAGAAATAGGGTGACATGCTACGTAAAGGCTAGCCATACCTGGATTCACAACACTAGGCCCTGATCCTGCGACAATTTCCACTGATTCCTGGCTGAGAAAAGTTGCTTGCTGACTAGCATGATCAGTTCTTGACGCCACGCTGCCAGGTGGAGCCACATGGTCAGTGCCATGCCTAGTTATGAAAGCCCCAGAGGCCTGGTCATTTGTTATTGTACCAACTGTAGTTACAGCTCCTTGCGGGTAAAAATAAGGTTGTGATGCATGTGGATATAGGTCAGGTTTGTCCTGAGCCGGGCCAGGCAACATGCTGTCATGTCCTGTCACATGGTCATTGCCACGCTCATATAGTGCCAGATGGTCAGAGCCTTGCTCTTTTAATGCCACGTGGTCAGGACCACACCCATTTAAATGAGGCTGTTCGGGCTGTTCCATATATCTACTCTGCTCTTCAGCCACATACTGCTGAAATCTTTCAAGATCCAGCTTCGGTTGGAAGTAAGATCTTGCTTGATGCATTTCGTGAGAATTTGGTGTTCCTGGTGCCATTTCATCATCTAAAAAGAGCAATGTAAAAATATATACAATAAATTTGATAGTCACTTTCATGTTTGTTTAGGCTACAGCAGAGTGAGAAAACTGCCCAGTACATGTAATTATATTGTTTGAAGGGTCACTTCTAATATTGTTTCTCACCCTAGTGCATGGTTGCCATAGCCAGAGGTTTTTTAAATTTCCTGCCTTTTTCCTTACAAATGTAAAATTTCCCTGACCAACAATTTAACAAATTAGTCCTGATTATGGACTTGACCATTCCCTCACAGCAATCCTCTCCACCTGATTTATTTATGCACAGCCATCCTCCCCACCCATTTACTCAGACTTCCAGCAAAAGTTCCTTAATATAAATTTCGTGAATGATACTCTACTAATACAACGTGATTCATGTCTGTAAAATTGTATGTAATTTTAAATGTTAGAAAACAACAACAGTAGAGTGAAAAGAATAAATATGTACTCTTAAAATCTCACTTTTCCCTGACTTTTTTTCAAAGACTTAAATTTTCCCTGACTTGAAGTAAAATTCCCTGACCTGGCTAGCTTGAAGAATTCATTCTTCCCACACCATTTCCTGACCTGTGGCAACCATGCCCTAGCCTTGGCTTATGAGATGGGCTTATGAGATGGAAAAATTAGTCAAGGAAGTGCAGTAAGATAAATAGAGGTGAGACGGTTTGGCGATCAACTATAAGAAAGCCCTCTAAAGTGTTATTAAATAATTTACTTTATAATTTATTTTGTCTGTTTGCTAACAATAGTGCTTATATTCACCTTCTTTGTTGTCATCTGAAAGCTCATTTAATGCTGGTGTTCGCATGACAGAATCACTCAACATGGACAGATGAGTTGGTGTTTCTGGAGGCTCAGCCACTGGAAACCTATAAAGAGTGAATTAAAAATGCATTTATTTACTATGATCATGGAAAAACAAAAAGAAAAGCAGTCAACTCTATGGACTGTATTACCCTGCACTACAGACAGAAATTAAACTCTAGTTAAGTCCATCTGCGAAACAGCCCCAAAGTCCTTGTTCTGGGTCTCCACCGCTGTACCAAGATTGGTGTATGCACCATGATTGGCCTGTTAAAAAGCTATTGTTGATTTGCCAATCATGTTGGAAGGAAATTCGAAATGCACTCCGAGTCCTGGTAATTTGTTGAATCCGTTGGGGACCAGAACAAGGATATCAGCACTGCCTCACAGACATTACTATTAGACCAGGGTTAAATTACGTCTGCGACGCAGGCTGGATGTTACAGACCATCAGATAGATTTAAGAACAAGAGCACAAACTTTTCAATTTCAAACAAGGAAATTTTCCAAGAACTCTTCCTCTTTCTTGATGGGCTAAACGCTTAGATTAGCATGTGTCAAATGATTTACAACTGCCCTAGAGAAACAGTGTCTGGATAAAGTCATGATTATTAATAAATTAAAGAAAATCTAAACAGCGTAATCAGTAACAATGGAACTGCTACGTTTTTTGGTTGGGTACCTGTTTTCTTTGCCACGTAAAACATGAGATGGGGCAGCAGTGATATTAGGAAATCCCATGTATTTCTGCAATTGAATTGAGAAAGTGAAGTCTCAATACCATTAGTTACCATCGCGAAATATTAAGCAAGAATGGTGAGACATGCCAGCTAAATCAAAGATTCAGTCAAGGGAGATTCCACTTTAGCAGGTCTATTTGCTCTGGCTATTGGCTAGTACAAAATACTTTTTGTTAAGTGAACATGATTGTATATGTTGTAGTTAATTTTTTGTCTTAGGTAATTTTTATTTTTCCTTTGTTTCAACTTCATTTATAGCATAGTTTACCATATCCAAAAAAAAAGAAAAAAAATTACCTGAGATAAAAAAATTAATTAACTACAACATATACATTACCTTAGGGTCATCACCAAACAAATCTTTAACAACTGACATGGCCTTATCTGACTCTGTGAGCACATCCTGAAACTAAAACACATTAAAGAGAAAATAAGTTACAGTGTATGAGAAATTCATGAGGAAACCTTGTTTATAAAAAGCGAAGTAATAATATAAGTGTATTATTAATACCAGATATAATCACCCATCCCCAGGGTTGTCACTAAGATTTCAAGTTGCCGGGTAAATACAACAAGTAGGCGGGCAGTCAGACGGCTAGGGATTTCTTTTGGTTCTATTTTTCTTCTATTTTCAAATAAAAGTAGCCGGGGGCCACTCTCTTAGTAGCCGGAGAAAATCCCCGGCCCCCGGCTCTTAATGACAACCCTGCATCCCTCATATGTGACTAGTATACAAAATACAGTCAAATCCTGTTAATATAGACACTGACAGGGCCAAACAAAGTGTCCATATTAACAGGGTGTCTCTTGTCCAGGTTGAATTTATAGAAAATGTAAAGGCTTTCTTTTCCCAGGGACAAAGCAAACTGTCCATAATGAGGTGTGTGTATTAAATGGGTGTGCGTAAAGTGGGACGTCTGAGCAACAACTACAGAAATTCCATACTGATGGCCTGTTTATACTACTATTGTCATTGGTCATAGAAGCACTACCCAGATCTTGGTAGTAACATGTCACCAGTATAGAATTTCTGCTGTCATTGCTCAGACATCATTTTGTGCGGAAACCAGTGGCGACATCGTAAAATGTTGGCTGTTTTCTCTCGCTAACCTTGTCATGGCCGTATAAAACTTCTTGAACGATTGCAAGTTTACGTCTTTCCACTGAATCAGGAGTCTGCAATGTGGAGTCTGGGAATACAAAGGATAAATGCATATTGATTGTAATTACAGTCATGTAAAACTAAAAATTAACAAAATCTCTACAACTGTGTGAGAAAAGGCATTAAATTACTTATCTACAGTGTAAGCAAATGCAAAACAAGGGTTTTATTACAAGCTTTTACCAAGCCTGAGAAAACAGCTGACATTTAGTAACGCCACCACTGGTTTCCCCAAGAAGTAATGTCTGACAAACTTTTGCAAAAATTCCATATTGATAAAGTTCACTACCCAGATCTGGGTAGTGCTTCCGACTGGTTGTGACACGTGAGAAATTTGCTTCAGCCAATCAGAAGCCCTACCCAGATCTGGGTAGTGACGTGTCATCAGTATCGTTTGTCAGACGTTATTTCGTGGGGAGTCCAGAGGTGGCTTCATGAAATATCAGCTGTTTTCTCAGGCTAGCTGTTACCCTCCAAATTATAAATAAGTGGATTTTTTACTAACATAATCCCTTACCTAGGCTTGAGTCTTTGAGCTGCCTTTGCAACAGCACATTTGTTGTATTCTTGGATTTGTGAAGTTCATGTCTTTTGAGCTTCAAAAACAATCACATCAATAATAATTATCTTCAGATTCATGCATTAAATGTACAGGTTGCTCATTATCCTAGACGCATAAATAATTATAATGATGTTAGTAGCACTTATTAACTCAGGACAGAGGGAAGAATACAATATTAACATTAAAAGTATTTCACTATTAGTCTATTTAAAACAAGCATCAAATAACCAAATTATTTAACATACCATACTCATCGAAGAGGCTTCCCTATTAATATAATTTTGCATTAAAAGCTTTTTGGGAAATTTAGTCAGGAGAAATTCTGATATAAAAAACTGGTTCTTAGGGCAATATAACCTTGCCAATTTCAGCTATAAAAAGAAAGATAGTCTACCTGTTCTTCCTTGGATGCCCTGTGCACAGTCAGGTCGTTTACTGTATTCTGAAAAATTATCATACAGAATATACGCATGCTTACTTGTGCGCTTAACAATAACTTACATAAGAACTTAAACTAATACCGTGGAAAATCTACTAGCGTACTGATCGATCTTCAAATAAGCAAAGAAGCTTTTAACATAAGCTTTCAAGCTTATGTTTATATGAAATCCACTCAAGAAGAGTGAAATTTTCGTAAACTTATGAATTTATATCTTATGCATCTCACATATATTCTACTTACATCCCATTCAGGTTTCTTCTTCTTTCTTTTCGCTGTTTTACTTGCTTGTTTATTGGCTACATACCTCACAGCACGTCGAGGACGAATGCTGTGATCTCCAACGAGAAACCCTTTGGTCGCCATTTTTATTTTTGATTTCCCGCCGTCCAAGTAGAATCCAGTCTCCGGTGGGTAGATCAGAAACGAGGCCGACTTGCCCTCGCGCGGTTGTCCCGTTGTTTGATCGTGGACTAAGGTTACGTCCCTCAACAAGAGAGGATTAAGACTTCACTGAGACTTGAATGGGAAGGATTCCTTAATAATTTAATAATAATTTACCAATTTATATAGCGCGTATTTACATGTGCTGATCAATAGCGCTTTACAATCATATGTTTAAACATAGTTAATTGAGTGGAATGGTTATGAAACCCGTCAGACTCCTTTGTTATATGTTTTTGTGGACCTGAAAGTGCACAACGTTCAAAAGAATTCCTATCATTTTGATTGTATTGACCAATAAAAACGTTGCATTAATTTATTCCGTAACAATTTGCCAACGGAAAACAAAGGATTGTGCACTTTCACGGTGCTTTGAACATAAACTGCAGCACTGTTGTTTTTATCATTGATGTTTGCCGCTTTTCATAACCAGTCTCCTCTAATAACTATGGTTTAAAAGAAAACGAAAATACATTACCGTGAGAATAAAACAAACTAAGTTACAAACTATAAAAATACTTCTTAAAAAGATAGGTTTTAAGTCGAGATTTAAAACTGTTAAGTGATGTTGCCTGACGAAGCTCCACAGGTAGGCCATTCCAGAGTTTCGGAGCTGCTGCTGAGAATGATCTCGCTCCCAGTGTTGTAAGCATCTTTCCCTTGGGATGGTCCAATAAGAGCTTACCAGTAGACCTAAGATTATGTAATGAATTCGATTTGATACTAATAAGTTCGCTAAGATAAGTTGGCGCTAGGCCATAAATACATTTAAAAGTCAAAAGTAAAATCTTATAGCCAATACGCAAGGAAACCGGCAGCCAGTGCAGCTAATGAAGCGCCGGTGTAATGTGAGAAAATTTCCCGGTGCCAAGAATAAATCTTGCTGCTGCATTTTGTACACGCTGTAATTTAGCGATCTGCGCCTTTGATAAGCCAAACAATAAACCATTACAATAGTCAAGACGGCTGGTTATAAAAGCATGAACCAAAGTAATTAAAGAATCTCTCGACAGGCAAGTTATGTAAATGATAAAATGCCGCATTACAAGCCTTGTTTATATGATCAGTCATGCTTAAGTTGCTGTTAAACCACGATCGAAGGTTTTTAACTCATGGGCTTGGACTGATACGATTATTGCCCACAGTAATGGAACACGAATCTAGTTTATCAAGCTGTTGTTGTGTGCCGACCAACAAAAACTCCGTTTTATCATCATTGATCATCAACCGATCTTGAATCATCCATTTCCTCACCGCGTCAATGCACTTTTCCATAGCTTGTATAGCATCAGCTTGGGCAGTGTTGCTGAGTGGTTTAAAACTCAGATACAGCTGCGTATCATCTGCGAAACCGTGAGCATCGGGAAGATAATGTTCCACGATCTTAAACAGCTTGGACGCATATATTATGAATAGCAAAGGCCCTAAACATGAGCCTTGGGGTACCCCGCAGTTCAAGTCAAAAGGACGAGAAAGAACTCCATGTACAGAAACGCGCTGACTTCTATCAGACAAGTACGATCTAAACCAATTCAGAGCAGTCCCACGTATGCCAACCTCGTCAGATAGCCTCTCTAAAAGTATTCGATGATCAACAGTGTCAAAGGCAGCACTGAGATCCAATAAAATTAACATAGTGACATGTTGAGAGTTCATCTTTAACAAAATATCGTTCATCACCTTGATAAGTGCAGTTTCAGTGCTATGGAATTGCCTGTAAGAAGATTGAGGCGCAGGAAAAATAGCATTTGAAACCATGTGATCGTAAACTTGATTAAAAACGACTTTTTCAGTCAACTTGGATACGTGTGGCATTTCAGGAAAAACGTTTCTATTTTCTTATGATTAATAATTATTTGCTGTGAAATGTTAGGCTTGTGCCTTTAATTTTAGTGACTGGCCTGCAAACCAGGCGGCAGACTGAGCTCTTTTGACCCTCCCTTGTTTCCCACCCCTACACTGACATAAGAGGGGCTTGTTCGCAGTAAGGTGAACAGGTAACATCTTCCATCTTAGTAACGTTAAAAAATAAACAAGTTTGAAGTGAACGCATTATTGATACTGCTGCTAGTCTACATGTTTTTTGTTTGTTTGTTTTTTGTTGTTGTGTTTTCCTTTTTTTAATGATTAAAAGGCAACTGTAATAGCCCACGTTCGATATATAAAATTCTAATATAAAATTCTGACCCCGAGGCTTTAGGGACAAAATTGGAAATTTTTCCACGACTCGATTGGCTCGTCATTTCCAGAAGAGACTTAAGCACAACCAAACCAAATATAGACTGAAAATCAGCAGAAAACCAGAGAGTCATGTGAGAATTTTAATATACCAATCATGGGCTATTACATGGTTAAGCCAAAATCAAAGAAAAAAAATACATGTTTGTTAAAGTACTACGTAATTGCCTGTGTGTAGACGTCTCAGGCTTTACTTTGTTGCTCGCAACAAAGGACAGGAGACGTCTGTACGCAGGTTGAGTAATAAACTGCTCCAAAATGGCGAATTTGGTCTGCAGTATTCTCATATTTCGTAGTTTGCTGAAAGTATTAAAAACAATTGTCTGTGCCTACTACTTGGGAGTTGCTCTAGCACCGCTCTGTTTTAGAGTTTTTGATTTGAAAACAATTTTTTTATTCCGATGCAAATAAAGCTCGCCTTAACATCAAAGGTTTTACTCCAGGCCTTATATTAAAAGTGAGGGTTTTCGGAACTCGGAATCGCCTATTGTGCAAGTGTCAATAAAGCCTTTAAGCCAATAGTAGTGTAGAATCAAGTTAAGGGGTGACGTACTTCAGCTACAATGTTAATCAAGCGATTATCATATCATGCTCTACTTTCAGAATCAGTTAAACTGTATCCGGCAGGCCTTCAGTTCGAAGTTATATTTTTCTAATTAAGGTCGTTTATAAGTAGTTACTGATAGCAGTGAAATTGTCATAATCATCAGAGCTCGACAAGCGAGGTCCTTTAAGTGGATTACTTGCAAGGTTCTTGGTATTTATTTTTTCCTGTGCTTTTTGTGAAGGACATCCGGCCAGACGCGAGACTTATGGTGATGGTTCGGTAGAAGATAACGGGCATCATTTTTCAACAAGGGAATGAGCTGGCAGTCTGTTTCACTGGGAAAGCAGGGGATAAAAATGAAGAAAATAACAACTCCTAATTATAATTTTCCGTCCTTCTGCGATCACAGTCAGCCATACTCAGAAATGAACAGCGCGGATGTTCAACAGGAAAGCGAGGATGGTATGAAAGATGGTCAGCCAGCCTTCAAAAAATTTCGTCATCCTAATCAACAAGAACACTCCACGGAGATAGTGAAGGGGAGTTATGATTTTCCATCACAACACAGTGGCGACTGGCAGCGCTTTAAATATGCACGTCCCGAAAGTATACATTCAGAAAACTTTATTCCCAGAGCTCACATGTTTTTGGACAACAATGAAATCGCAGCACATCTCGGCCAGCCATTTTGGTTTGATCACGACGAAACACAAATCTCCTGTAGAGCCCTGCCAAGTTATACTGCTCTTTCTCAAGAAGGCGAAAGAAATTTCTTTCGGAAAATTAGAAGGTACTTTGAAAAGGGACGCACAAATGCCCTCTGTGATGAAGAAATAGGTGTGAGAGTGAAAACAGAGCCAATGACACGGGAAACGGACGTAAATTTAAGGGAAATTTCCGACCAAATGGAGCTGCTGGTAGTTTGCAGAAAAAGAAAGCGATAAATGTTGAACAAATGAGAAAAGGTATACATGTTCTGCTCACGAAACCAAAACACTTTAGTTTCTGTAACAGGTGTATAGGAACCTACACTTTACAGGCAACTCTCAACGGAAAGTCCTTAGGAAAAGCAAACGCAAAAACTGAATTCTTTTCAAGTTTAAAACATTGAGCTTTCGGCCTTGTCGACTCCACAATTCGATAACTGACCAGTCGACGATACTTGCTCTCCGGCTCTGATTGTACTTTTTATTATTATTATTATTATTATTATTATTATTATTATTAGAAAATTTTCATTTTTTAGTTTATAGACAGTTGTTAACATTTGCTCTGTTTAAAACCACCAGCCCACCAAGAAGTCTTTTTGAACTATAGTTATACTAAATTTGTATTTAATTTTCAATTTGAGCAGAGTTTAATAAAGTATGGTTTTTTGAAAATTATTATTATTATTATTATTATTATTATTATCATAATTATTATTATCATGATTATTGTTATTTTACTTTTCTAAGCGACAAAAGCCTGGAGAAAGTAATAAGGTCAATAATCCTGTTTTCGTTTTGTAATTCAAAACATACAATTTACAAACATTTTATGTGATAAAAAGCGCTGTCGTGTTGAGTAGTGTTTATAATTTTCCACACAAAGTTCAAACAAGAAACGTGAAGACACCACTCGCACATCACGATGTTCCCATTTTCCACTGACGAGCCAAGACCAAGTTATTCCCTGGTTTCGATAACTGAGGGATAGAAATAAAATGAAGAACAATGTAAGCAAAATTTTTCACACTAGTCTTCACAAAGAGGGAATATTTACACACACACAAACAAACAAAAACACTGTCGGTAAGGCGTCACCCGTCAATATAGGTTCGACTGTTTTGACGAAGAGAAAAATAGGTGGAATAATTCTTTGTCGCCGGACTTTAGGTGATCTTTGGGAGCTACCGGTACAGCTGCCTATCCGCTCAACCGCTAACTTACCTCCAGGTATATTGACTTTGTTTGAGACCAGTACATCCGCTTGTATAGCTGTCATATTTACGTACATGCTGTCTGGATGCGACTGGATGAAAGGAATAAAAACCATATAACCTATTATTTTCTACGTCTTTTGTACGGCTTTTTACATATTTCAACTTTAAAAAGACAATCTACATAAGCTTGCGTGGCAGACGTTCAAAGAGCCGAAGAATCGAGAAGAAGAGAAATCGAGCGCGATACGCGTGTGCCCTTCTCGTATTCCCCGATACAAATTTCCCGTTTCCACTCGAGCACCTGTGTGCCACGCGCGCAGGCCACACACACACAGTATATTAATTTCAGGCGTTCAGATAGTGGAGAGTGTCGCGCAAAAGAGAGCGGATTTAAAAAAAGCGGAAAAACGGACGTGAAAGGACGTTCTCATCCTACCTCCAATCGCCTACGCTGTTTTGTTTCCTACACACTTTTCTTCGCGCCGCCCCCACTATTTGAACACCTAGAACAAGAAATTTACGGTCAAGCCTTTCAAATTTTCAAGACGTACCATGAATTCTTCGTAAAATGTGTCACCAAGGGCTTCGCGCACTCGATCATTCACCAGAGGAAAGGATCGCACGAAAAACTGTAGAAAAATTACACATCGGTAATGTCATGTACTTTTCACAAACATATTCACTCCCTTAAAATATTCCTTGTTGTTATAAAAAGTGATCTTGTACTAAATGACAAAGAACGGCAGTTAATATTCACAACAAATGTTGTCAGAATATTGCCCAGGTGGTACTCCCTATAATGGCCTAACCGGGAAGGCTCCACCCGCAAAGGGTACCATTTGTCTATAGAAGGTATAAGAAAGGGGTGCTCTTCTGCCAAAAATGGTATATAAAAGGATAAGGGGTTAGACCCCGGGGCGGAGCTTTCCCGTATACAACGTTGTTGACTATCCCCGAGGGAGAGTTGAGATCTTGTAGTAAAAAGCCACACCCACCTCCAAAGCAATTCCTGATTGTCTTTGACTGTCAGCGTGTAGAGTATTTCCCATAGCAAACAACAATCCATGGACAGTTCGTAGCTTTATCGAAATCAAATAATTTCGTTAGCGAAAAAATATTTCGAACTGACAGAAAATTAATTAATGCACCGATTTTGTTTCTACCTGAACAAGACTTTCTGATGTTTTTGCTGACTCTTTAGCCAGGATTCTGAAAATAAAGTAAAAAAATCAATACAAAATTATCTAAAGAAAAAATTGTAAAATACATAATAAAGTGCCTCACGGCGATTGTATCAATAATTTTCCAGACTCCGTTAACACGAATTCTCAGGTTTTAGTTCGGTTTCCCTCTTTTAATTTCATATAATAAAAAAAGCCAAGCATTATTCCCTACTAAAAGTACTAACGGAAATAAAATTTAGAAAAAAACATTCAATCTGACGTTACTGAAGAATTTACCCAATACACTGGTATGCTAGTTTGTCTCCATGTTCCCTTTGACCAGCAGATAAATTCTACAAATTATCTTTCACTGCATTACATTATTTTTGTACCATACAACTTGAAGGCAATCTCTAGCTTGCGCCACAGAGGGAACCAAACTGTTCTGGTTAAGTCCGTCTGCAAAACGGCGCCCAAATCTTTGTTCTGGGTCCCCACCTGTCTACCAGGATTTGAGTACTTGCCAGGTTGAAAGAATTTGAAACACATTTCCGGTAGCTCGCTGAGACCGTTAAGGGCTCTGAACAAGGATATCAGTGCTGCTTCAAAGATGTTACTAAACGGGGTTAGATTACGTTACAGGCAAACTCCTCACAGATTATTAAAGATGCAGGAAATTTGTCTACAGTTCCTTTGTCAACCCTCACTCTCAGCCCCATCACCAACATTACAATTTTATTATACTACCACTATAAATGACTTGCCGCACCCGATCATTTTAGCAGCTGCTGCCTGCTGTACAAACACAGGTAGTGGGGCCTGGAGCTGTGGTGCATCAGGATCTATCAGAGAAAAGCAAAAGTATTCTATGTGGTGAAAATTTGAAAGGAGCCCAGTGCTCTGAGTCTGTGAAATCCAGGATGCCCAGCATTTGATTTATATGAAAAAAGACTAAGATTTTTCGATTACCTGGGAGAAAATTGGCGTGATTTCTGTAAAGGAGTTGAGGCTTAGCTTCATTGATCTCATAAGTGGAGTGTCACATATCAGATAAGTTTTGTGCCACAATTGGATCGATTTAGGTTTTGGGGGAAACTGCCCACCTTCCCTCCCCTAAGCCATCATTTTGCGCTAAGTGAGAAGTAAGTGTTAATGTTAGCCTAGGGGAGGAGTAGGTGGGCAGTTTCCCAGTGTTAGGAGAAAATTGACATTGGTCCCTCTTGGGACTTAAAAGAGTAATGTAGAAATTTGACTCTACAGCTGCACATTACCCAAGGTTATATAATTTTACAGGCAGCCACAAAGTGACACCCATGGGCCAGGTACAGATCACGCATCAAACCTGTGAAGGATGTCTCTGAACTGTCTTTGATCTCATCCTTGGTAGGTTTTAGTAATGCCACTAAGCCTTTTAACAGAGAGTGTTGTACATCATACTGCATTAAGTCTTTGATGAGTTCACAGGCTTCATACTGAACTTCCAGGTGCAGGGATCTTAAAAGCATCAATACAGGTTCCACGATGGTTGGGTTTGCTGCTCCGACCACAGGCTGGTAAGGGAATAAATAGTGTAATGATTAATATGTGGTCATGTGTATAACAAATAAACTTGAACTTGAAACTTGATCTCTTGACAATATGCTTGTACCTTGAAGTAATGCGATTATTTATACTTGTAAGCCACTTCAAAAATATTGTTCAGTAATAATCTCCGGGGGTCAAGCATGACTCCAAAAAAAGTGACAGGATGCTAGTTGCCTCCTTTAGTGGTAGAAACTCCATACTTTAGTCTCAATTAGGGAGTTGACAATGGAAAGCCAATCTTTTTACCTGTATTAGGTATCTCTTTAATAGCTACGGCTACATTGTGTGTAAAGAAATATTTTAAATTAGACATTGGGTCCCCACCAAGACTGCATTCACTTAGGAAATTAAAATTTCTAGTGCTGGTTTAGATAGTGCATCTTGTCCAATGTCTTTTGTTCTCAACATATTCCTTCTGATAGACTGAGAATTTTTATGCTTGCACACTAATCACATTAGATTTTATTCTTATGACATGTAAGTTTGATGAAGTACCAATATCCCAATATGGAATAAGAAACTGGTTACTACTGAAGCTTAAAACCTTTAACCCTTTAAGTCCCAGTAGTGACCAAGATCAATTTTCTCCTAACGATATCCATGCACTATCAAGAGATAAGTCATGAGAATTGACAAAAAGATCACCAAAGAGAAAATGCCTTGATCTATTATCAAATTCTCTCAACTAATTCTTTATGGAAATGTATGGAGATCAGTTTGGAGAATTTGTATGCGGATAAAAGAAGTGATTAAAGAATGACTACACCAACCTGAACTATTCTCAGAGTTTGAGCAGCCATCTGTTGTGCCTTTGGAGACACACACTTTAACAAGGCAATAAGTGCTTTATAGACTTGACTTTCATATTTTGGGTTTCCCTAGAAAAAATTATCTTTATCACGTATCATCATAATCATAATCGCAGTCACTTATCAGGGTTGTCACTAAGATTTCAAGTTGCCGGGTAAATACAACAAGTAGGCAGGGAATCAAACAGCTAGGGATTTCTTTTGGTTCCATTTCTCTACTATTTTCCGATATAAGTAGCCAGCGTGGTGGCCACACTCAAAATTGCCGAGGGAAATCCCCAGCCCCCGGCTCTTAATGACAGCCCTGCTTATCTTCTTGTCACGATTATTGCTCTCATTGTCTGATAATCGATCATCGTCATCATCTTCAATACCATCTTAGGTACCGGTACTTATACTTATATGCTTACATTTGTACCGGTACTTCTTGAATTATTTTGAAACATTTAATGTTTCAAAATAATTCAAGAGGTTTTGACTAAAGTGCCTTAGGAGTGGAAAACTGACTTTGCTCTTTTGGATAGGTGATTACTAATTGTAAAAGGGGTTGCTTATGAGAGGTCAAAGCACATAGAGATTACACTGCATTATCTTTGGCCATTTCAAGAACACAAAAACTGAAAATTACTTACACTAGAGAGTTGTTGTAGTAAATTTCTGGCACAATCTTGGGTCTCCTCTGAATTTGACTTTGCCAAGCATTCAGCTACAGCCCTGATACCTTGGAACAAACATTTAAAAGAGTGTGATCACTCTCACTTATCACTGATAGCAACTCCATTAGTAGATCTATGGGGAAGAGGGGGAAGGGGGCTTTATTTTACAGGGAGGGGCAATAATGCCCCATTCCTTTCTCTTCCTTATTTCATAAGCAAATGTCTTACATAATTTGCAATCTCTATGAGTCTAAACTTTTCAGTTAAAGTGAATGAAGGTCTCCGTAAAAGGTAGTGATACTGTAGGGAATGAAGTTACATTCTAGGAACAGCTTTTACAGATCACTTTTTCCGAGTTTTCTTGATCATCTTCTACACCTTCCCTCCAATGCCAGGCAGTTTTTATCCACCATAATCTTCATGAGTTTTACCAGAGAATGTCTGGAATTAAGCTCATTCTATTTGTATGTTTAGTTGATAGGATTTCTTACACTTCCCTTACCAAAGCTCTCACAAATTAGTTCTTTGTATCTTCTGCCAGAGTTTGAGACACACATCAACACCTTTAATGCCTGGGCTTTGTCTTCCTATATGCACACATGTCAAAATTAGAAAACTACACAGTAAGGCAAAGATAACACTTGGCAAGCCTAGGAAAAACCTTCTTTGCTTTTACCTTGCTTGGAAGCACTCTTGACTTCTGCAAATGCATGAATTTTAGCTTTGCTATTCTCAGCTTGTGTAAGATAGTTTAACACCACGTTCATTAACATTTTAGGGTTTCTCTATGTAAATTAATATATCAGGCAAAGAGCCTAAGAATGGTTTCAACCATTGTACAGATTTAATGGTTAAATTGTTGAGAATAAAATGAAATGATTTTTGCAAGTGTTAAAATTTACAAAACTTTCTTGGCGATGCAAGACCTAGAGCCTCTTCAATTAAAGACCCTTTAGTGCTTGCAATAACAGTCACTTGAGTTCCTGGATCCACGCTTGAACATTATATGCATTAAGGAAGATAGAATGTTACCTCCTTTGCCTGCTTAAGGCCAAGAATTTCAAGAACAGTTAAAACACCACCAACTTCCAAGAACTCTGCCAAAAATTTATGCCTGAAAGAAACAAAAACAAAAAACATTATTCTGGGCTTGGAAATTTGGCATGGGACATTTTTGGGGCTAATTTTTGGTCCAGGGATTTTTTTCGGCTTTGTTGGAAGCCCTATGGATTTTTGGGGGGCGTTTGATTTTTGCCCCCATTTGATCAGCCCCGTCACTTGAAATCCGGAGTACTCTCCCTGGGATATAGAAAAGACAGTAAAGACAGACTCACCCGCTTGATGAGCCAACAAAAATAGCGATGGCTTGAAGCTGTAACTGAACACACGTCCCAAGCATGTAACTTTTGTAGTGCAAGATAGTATGTCAAGGATATTAACAATGTTAGTCAGCTCTCCCTTGATGGACATCACTATAAGACCGACACATCACTAAAATGGACACCTAGAGTTAGTCCCTGCCTTTCTTTACTCCTTTTAGTTGACTCTCTATATAAGATGGACGCACGCATGGAATTGGTCTCCAAGGTGTCCATCTTAGAGGGAGTTGACTGTACACTAACCTGTGAGGACCTAAGGGTAAGGGTTTACATTAGTTTTGCATGACGTAGTGTGCAAAGAAAGTAGTGTCCGATATCTAGGGGCTAGTGGCTTTTGCTATTCTTTTCTTAACTTGACCGACAAGCAAGTGAAGTTTTTTAAGGAATTCCAATTACAATAGAACTGTGAAATCAATCTTACTTGTAAACAAGTTTTTGGAGCTAGTTGAAATGACGTTTGCACCAGTAAATCAAATGCTAGCTTCAGTTTGCTCAAATGAAAAACTGCAAAAATGACTTTCTTTGCACCCTGATAACATTTTTCCAACAACACTCTTTGTAGAAATCTTAATTTTCAATCAACTTTCGATTCTTGCCCTTATAACACAAGAGGTAGTTGGCATGCAAAAGACCAATTTCAGTATACTGGAATTCAAACTTGGATACAAGGCTTGGGTAAATGAAACAAAAGGAAAATAATTTTTATTAATTCCTGAACTTCAAAGTTTTTTCATGTATTTTATTCACCCAAGCCTAGAAGCCACGTTTGAATTTTAACATATCGAAATCGGTATATTGAAACTAAATGTATTTCAACAGTAATTAAAAAAGAAATCTTGATTATCTGGGCACCCTGTTGCATCCCTCGATGTGTGCGTATTTCCTATTAACAACTTATCAATACCAACCCTAGACTTGTAAAGGATACGTTAGCCGTAACCATGCTGTCAGCCTTGTTAGAAACAAACTTGCTGCATGGGCAAATTCAAGTTCCAGTTCTGGGCCAGTTTTTCCTTGGTTTTGAGCGATAAAATCTTGCAGAATTTTGAACGTACACTCTTTGATCCATGGTCCCATTGTTGAAGTAATTTTGTTACAGCAGCTTGGTCTGTTTTCATTCTGAAGATATTTAAAATATCATTCTTAATATTGAGATTTGATCGGCCAAGTTGACATATTATTAAAAATAAAGCTTGAGCTTTTTTTGGCTGCGATTAAAACTGTAAAACAGCTGGGATTCAGTGGCTCTCAAAGCTGACGCTTACAAAACTACAGGTATAAATTTAAAAATTATGAATAAGAGTTACAATTGAAACTATCAACTAATCTTACCCGATAAAGTATCCTCTAAAAAGCGTTTAAAATACAAAAAAATATCAAGGATCATTCTCTTGGTTTAATGCCCGCCATATTTGTTGACAATGGTAACTACACATAGCCATACCGATGACCAAAATGACACACGGCTCAAGTTTTGGAGTCCAGTCCCGCGCTTCCTGGTGACCTCGTTCCCAGTGCTTCAGCATTCAAGATACGAGTAAAACGGCGGAAGGAGAAAGGGAAGAAGGGGTACTAGGAAGAAAGCTTTCTGCGCTTTTCTCTCATATCGGATAGGTGTTCATACTATCTGGTTAAGTGTGAACAAAGCCATAGAATCAGATTCATCCTACTTTAACGGAAGATGGCAAACCCGTACTTGTTCATAAAGATTTGTACTCACCCTTAATTAATTGAACTATTGATGATACAGTCACTCTTTAGAGTACTGGTTTCTTTAAGGAACATCATAGGTCAAGCTTCTGTTTCAAAAGGTAGCCGGGTTCGCGCTCTTTAGCGCGAGCTAAAACCGCGTTGGACTGTATTTTGAGCGAAATTTGAGTCAACGTAACAAGAGACACTGATGTCCAGGATTGAATGAACGAGGGTATAAAATGAGTATTTATTCTTTGACTGGGTTCTTCATGTCGGTAGTTTTGTGATTTTGGTGAACCTTTGCACGTAAGTGTGTGATCACTTCCTTGAAGAGTTTGCGATCTCGCCCACTTTTGTTTTTATCCTGAACAATATCAAGCTTGTCCACATCAAGTCTGTATGCATGAAACCAAATATGTTTGTTTTTTATTTATTTATAGTTCTGCAAATGAAGAAAGTACGCCTTCCTTTCCGGCGAAAGATATTTTGAAAACCATCGGCAAACTTCAAAAGTTTTCAGCATCTAAAGTCTTAAAGAAGACATGACTGGCCATGAACTTCGACTAGCAATTACTTGAATATCTGTGGGAGGGCTTATGTATGCGCTGAGTGTTTTGCGATTAATTTCACTCCCTCCTTTTGCCATACACAAAATAAAAATCCCCAAGCTGAGCACCACCCAAACTGCACCAGACAACAATGTGTTTCATGAAAATATCAACTTTCCTTGGTCCACGCTTCGTAGTGGGGAGTCACATTTAATGAGTCAGTCATTTACATGAGTTCGAGTTTGAAGACTTAATTTTGGGATCATATTATTTATTCTCTTTGCTTAAATTTGGTCAGTCCAATCTTTAAATCTCATAAATTAAGAGTAAATATAGGAGCATTGTTCAACTTTGGCTTGTAGAAAAGGGTAAAAAGATCCAAAGGAAACTAAATTCAACTAGGACAACATTGTTAGTTGTTACCTTCATTGTCGCGATTTTATCCATCTTGCTCCGTGAACAAAAAGGAGGTAATAAGTTCAATTATTGTAGGTTTTCTTAGTAATTATCATAAAATATATATTGGGAGAGACAAAGGAAATAACTGGTTGGTTTTAATTTTAAAGTAAAATTTTCATTTTGTGAAAGCTTGACTGAATGAAAATCTATGTTTTCGATTTAAGGTTTTGAAAACTATAAAAGTGATCTAAGAATAAACATATTCTGAGGTTGTTTTGACAAGATGTTGACTTATTGCTGCCCACCCCAACCTGTATCCAAGGAAATATGATAAATTAAATACTACACCTGTTTTTATATATTTTATTGAAGATGGTATTGCTGGTGAGGTCAGCTCAAAAAAACTTTCTTTGCCAGGAAAGGACAAGAATTTGGATAGAAATCCGATGTTCAAGACATAAATACGTACTGCTGCGTCATTCATCTAAAAGACGAATTTGTAAATATGAAGATATAGTTGTTTGACTTCGCAACAAAAGCTGCCATTATGCATGACGCACTATAGATGGATGGTCAATATGAGTTTTTCTCGCCCTTTCATTGTTGTCGTATATGAGATTTATAACTTATAAATTTTTCAGCACCTCGACAAAAGATCCACTCTTATTGGCGATTCGATCGATACTCATTTCCCAGAACTCTGTTACTGTAGGACATTCTAGAAAGAGCGCAAATCGCGCGGAGTTTTTCCACTGATTTAAAGCAGCACCTGCGTATTGTGCGCAGTGACAGGTGACAATCACATTTGAGAAGAGAAAAATTAATATCCAACAGTTCGCATGAATTTGTGTACCCTGTTGTTCCGATCCTGTCTCGAGGTATAAATTATTTTATGTAATTACTTTCTTTGACGCTTCTCCATTAGCAATTGGTATTGCGCATATCCGATGCCTAGACTCAAGACCGCCCACTAAAAGCATCAAGCGAAAATCTCTCTGCAAACCTCTCGAGCAAGGCAGTTGTTTTTCATCGGAATCGTTTGCTGCATCTTCCTCGCCTCTATGGATACCATTGCTGACAGAATCGTTATCAACGTTGGAGGTAAGCGACATGAGACACACGCAAGTACTCTTCAAACTATCCCTGACACCAGGTTGGCATGGATTGCGGAAAGTTTCCTGGCCAATGATAACAGGCAAGAGATATTTTTCGACAGAAACCCAGAATTATTCGGGATCATTCTCAACTACTACCGTACTGGGCAACTGCATGCTCCGCGCGACTTCTGTGGCCCTCTCTTTGAGGCAGAGTTAATATTCTGGGGCATTGAAGAGAGGGAAATGGAAGCGTGTTGCTGGCCCTATTATACTCAACATCGAGATGCCGAGAAGAACTTGAAAGATTTCGTAGGACCCGAGTTTGAAGACACGGACAACGACGACGAAGAATTCTCGCCCGATTTAGAATCATCGCCATTTCATCAAGTTTCATCATTATCATACTGGACACTTTATAAACCGAAAATCTGGGCAGTACTAGATGATCCGCACTCATCGACCAAGGCTAAGGTATTAACACGCTTCACTTCTATTCTTTTTGTTTTCTTCCAAAATCTCATATTAATTTTCAAGCTGAATATAATTCGGAAGCGAATTTCAGGTTGAGTTGTTCGGTCAATATCGGTTGTTCATTATTTTGGTTTTTTACTACTACTACTACTGTATACGAGCAGGCAGCCCTTACTTATTTTTACGCAATGACCTGTAAACTCAATTTATTATGTCTGCTCCATAAACGGTGGCTGCGGTTCAGAAAAGAATTGCCCAAACGGCTACTGAGGCGTTTGTCAACGCTTAACAAATATGGAAAATTTCGCCAGTTTTCTATGCAAATAGAGACCACAAGTAAATAAAAGGGTATCGCACGTCGACGATTTTAAGCCTAAAAAACGCTTCTAAAACAATGTTTCTGGATTAATCGGGCATGATTTTAAGACGTAAAAAGAACTTAAATCCACGATAAAGCTGGGCAATCTGGTTACCAAGGGGTTTGTTTTTGCTAAACAAATGGGTATAAGATAATGGCGTACGAATCGCTATCTGAGAAATCAGCCATAAGAAAACGTTCTTTGTTTCTCAGGCATCGTCGATGAAAATTCTATTGAAAAGAAATCATAACATCTCACTGTGTTTTTCCAATTAAACTGCGGCTTAGTTTTGTGGAAAAATTTTTAATGTACTGTAAACGGGTTTTACATGGGGACTTCCGTTCTTCATAGAGGAAGGATTCTTTTACAGAATAACACCTCCGTTTATAAAAGCTAATTGATGTAGAACATAAGATAACAGAAAAATATCGAAATATATGAAGGGAATAGTTTTTTGAAGGTATATCACCTCAAGACTACAATCAAACCATGTAAATCCGTATTGACCGCAAAAGTAAACAGATGGCTCCAAGTGATATCTTTTTTAACTAAAATTAAACTCGAGCGTAGGATAATAATAATATCGGGTACAGTCTTTTCGGCAATTATAGCAATACAGCTGGACACGCATCCGTGAAAAAATATTTCAGCTGTGTTATATTCTATTCAGTCAGTTCCCTTTCAATGAATTTTCTGTTAGCTTTATATTCTTTCAACCACCAGCGTTTGTGCGCACGGTATAAATTCAAGAATGGAAAAGCTTTTAAAAAGGTCTTATCGACTTGTTTAATTGGGCGCCGAAATGCAAAATTTTACCTCGATTAACCGACTGCATTTTAAATAATTTGCAAGACAATGAGTTTCAGCTAAACTGGTGGGGTTTTTTTACCACAGGAGCGATAAATTTTCTATGTTAACTTCATATTTCTTAGATCTTTATGATCCAGTTTAAGGACGTGCAGTAAGCGCCAGTGTGCCTAAAAATGTTAGCCACGCTTTGTAATTTTACAGTGTGACTAAAAGTTCTCCACTCATTTAGGAAAATGAAATATTTGCTTTTCTTTTTACTTATTCTACTTATCTTTTGCGCACTGTCAATAATAAAACATATTCTCTGATTGGCAGCTGATTTGAATCGAAACGAACCCCCATCTTATATTATATAATGGGCTTGTTTAAATTAACATGTAGCTTTTATATCAGGAGACTAAATGGTAAAAGCTATTAACTTTTTACCTGCAATTTCTATTTTATGTATTATACCACCACATAATTATTCATATATCTAGGGTGACATCACACCTTAGTATTATATAATTACAATAAAATAAACTGCTTACTCGATGGTTGAGCCGTGAATCTAACTTGATGATTGCCCACAATTTCCTTTTTTTTTCGGAGATAAAGCACGCAACTCAATAAGCATCCGCTCACATTATGTGTTCAATCATCGAATGAGATTTATGTATAAATTTATTGTCACGTAGCAAAAAAGTAGAAGCCCCGTCACTTAACCGTAGCTGAGAAACGCGAGTTTGTCACCATGTTGCTCTTTAGTAAAACTAATGCAACTACAATTTAAAGGGCTATGCCTGATGACGCGTTCCACATTTTTGGGTAAAAACTGAGCTGATGCTGAAAGTAAGCATTGCTGGTTTGCACGTGACGTCACGGCGGCCATGTTGGTGGCCAAGAACAAAAGCATTTCTCTCCTCTGGCAGCCAAACTCTGTTTTCGTGTAAATCCTTCGAGAAAAAATTCTATTGTATTGACCCCCAACATGGCCGCCTTGTCACGTGGTTGCATCAGGTCAGGTGGTTTATTCAGGTCAGTCATCTCTTTTCCCGCTACCAGAGGCCCCTTTTCCGGCTGGTATTAGGAGGGCGTACGAAATACCAGGGAAAAGAGGCCCAGGTCTGTCAGCAGGAAAATCATTATTTCTCTTATAACTCCAAGAGAAAGATATTAATCGATTCTCTGAAGGGGAAAAGAAAACATGATAGTTTGAGAAACAGTTCATTTAAAACACAAGAATTGATTTGCAACTGTTGGCTCAGGTTGAATTCCATGCCATGGAAAAGCCAAACACACGCGCTTATAATTTAGGTTAAGTTATCATCTTCGTGTTTTCTCCAAGGTGTTTTTTTTAGGGTCTTCGAGCAATTACCAAAATAATCGTGACACATCTCCTTAAGAGACAAAAGGCACCGGATGAAAGCATCACTCTTTAGATTATAGCCAAAAAAATAACCATGCATGCTAGAATTTTACCTAGAGGCCGGATTTGCAAAATTATTACCACACAAATAGAGATATGTCACATTTTAATCGGTTTCACGGTTTTATTGCTAAATTTCAGGTTTAGGTCGACTGCTCGTTATTGATAAGTCCTCATCTTTCAAATGCATTTTTCTTCCAATTCATAACTCAAGAATGTAACATTATGCACTTATTTCAATAACGGTTGCATTGGGAATCGTGCTTTGGTCTTTGAAAGCCTTTGTTTGGTGGTCACGCAAGCAAAGCATTGCATTGTATTCTGTGTTTCAATGACCAAATCCCAAAGCAACCTTTATTGAAATAGGTGTATAAACTCCCGCTTACAAGCCATAGGATAATACATCTTCGTATGTGATCCTAGGAGGGCTTATTCACGTAGGAGGTGGGGAGGGGGGGCTTACTACTGGGTGAGCTTATAAGGGGGGGAAGCATATAAGCAGAAGTTTACGGTATTCCTGTAGTTTCACGGCAGCATGGTGCCAATACTACTGTTAGCCTTGTGCTAATGGAGTTGTGAGAAAAGTCACAGAGCATTTAGTTTTAAATGTCTCGGGTGCGTAACATGTATTTCTTAGCGTTTTTACTAAAGCCCGTTTTTCCTTTTTTTTCCCAAGGTGTTTGCATTGTTTTCATTGTTCATGATACTGGCATCTGTTGCTTCCCTGTGTGCTTCATCAGTTGTTATTGAAGATGAATACGTGCGTGGATTTGAATATTTATTTTGTGCGTGGTTCACACTGGAGTTTATAGCACGGTTTATATTTTGTCCTGACAAGATCGTTTTTTTTAAACAGATCATGACATGGGTGGATTTGATGTCCCTGCTCCCCTTTTACAGCAAACTGTTCTTCAAAACAGATTTACTTAGTTTCTTGAGGGCCGTGAGGCTTATTCGTGTGTTTCGAGCACTCAAAGCATTCGCTTTTACAAGCGGGTTGCAGATTATCGTACAATCGCTCAAAGCCAGCTTCAGGGAGCTAATACTGCTTCTTATTATTTTGTTAATTCCCGTGGTAGTATTTTCCAGTATTGTTTACGACATCGAAAACAATGTCCCCAGCCAGCCTCACTTTCGAAATATCCCAGAAACCTTTTGGTGGGCAATTATCACTATGACAACTGTCGGCTACGGCGATATGGTCCCCAAAACGATCCTAGGTAGGGTCATTGGTGGAATATGCGCTATTTTTGGAGTACTGATAGTGGCGTTGCCAGTCTCTGTAATAGGAAATAACTTTTCTACTTACTACACGCATGCTCAAGCTCGACTTAGTCTTCCAAGGAAAAAACGTCGTCTGATATGCGCAGCTAATCTGCGCATGAATGTCTTACCGGAACAATCAGCTCCAAGTAGCACCTCATTGAAACAAAATGGCGGCCTTCAGGAGACTTCAGAGGGAATACAGCTGGATGCATCTCCAGGCTCAGCAAAGAGATTCAGGCGCTACCATCGGCGATCACGAAACACACTGTTTGCTCACGGCGATGTGTACATAGGTCCAAGCAAGCTTGAAAGGCAAAAATTATCTCGCAGTAGTACATGCAAAGAAGAGGAAAACGAAAACGAAACTGAAAACGAAACGAAAAGTGAAAGCGCCACAACAAAAGAAACAATTAGCAGTGGAGAATTAGACAACAAACCAGATAAGGTGCGTGATCTATCTGGCACAGATAGCGAAATTCTTCCTGCTATCTCCTCTCTGCCAAGAAACTTTACGCTCATTAACTCGACGCATGAAAGTGAGGAGATTATTGAAGAAGCCGAGACAAGACCCGCCTCTGTACTCTCTGAACACCGAAATGGTGTTATCAAGAAAAGGAATAAAACTGCTAATTTACCAGTATCCCATCGTAAAAAGTCCAACAGCTCGCCAAATAAGTGGCTAGAATTAAAAAATGAACAATCTCCAACAGAGAGTAGAAGGCCACAAAGTTCGCGGGCTCGCAAGGCGCGCGTATCACCCGCAGAGGTGCTTGAAAGTTACCAGAATCACGTGGAAGGCTCCACGCAGAACCTGTCCCCACGACATTATCCTGTTCCTTCATTTAAGTTAGACATGGAAAATTCTCAAACAGACAAACCTGCTTTGGTTAAAATGCCCGAGCAAAAGAGTAACAAGACTGCAAATTCGACGAATTTCACGGAGACTTTACACAGACCAAGGACCGCTACATTGGATGCTGATGTTACGAATGGATATGCAATCTGATATTTAACAATAATTATTCCACCAGTGCTCGTTAGATATGAGATGGTGGATAGCGAACAAGGTGCGTAGCGCCCAGTTGGCTATAATCATCTCATATCCAACAGGCGTGAGTGGAATAATTGTTTTATTAAAAACGCCCAGAAAAATATCGAGAAGTCTTATTTGTAAAAAACAACCGATTTTCAACTTGTTTTTGTTTATGAGCAAACGTGTATGGTTGCCATATTTGGAGAGCATGGTATAATGGCTCATATGCCATAATGGCTAAGCCAATCAGAGCTCGAGAATTGCATTATCCAATGATTCAGTTTTTAATAATTAATATTAGCGGACAAACTCTGAACTGTGACCATTATTCCAGAGAAACCTTCCTAGCCAGTGGCAGATGCAGACCTTGAGATAAGGGAGGGCCCGGTTATCCAGACCAAAGAAAAGGGGGCACGGCCTCGAAAAAAAAATTTTTTTCGGCCCTTCGGGCCTCAGTTTGGTCCAAAAATGGGGCCCGCTGGGTCCGCCACTGCTAGCTATACTTATAGTATACATTAGAATATTCTGTATGAAAGAACTCTGTATTTGTTATTCAATTTGTGACCTCCTTTTGACTTCTTCAGTGAGGAGGAGAAATCAGGGACCGGTCATTATTTATCGAATGGCGGGTGGAGGGGGGGAAGGGCGGGCGGAGAATTTTTTTTGTAGGGGGGAACACTGAAAACTTTGGAAGAATTCAGAGGCGGGACCACTCAAATTTGCTTAACAAATGAAGGCATTGGGGGGGATCGCAAAAGTGATCAAATGTTATTAGGAGGGATCACTTCAGTGAAGTAACATTCAAAGGGCGGATGGGCTAAATTTCATCTTGTTTAGCCCCAAACCCCCCCCGTCAGGCGATAAATAATGATTGATCTCTTAGGAGCTTAAGAGGCTCTACCTGAATGACGTCAAGTCCTTGATAGCCTGCTAGCAGCAAGCTCTGCATTCATGGCGAGACAGCGAGGCGAGCCGCCTGAGAACACGCCAAATGGCGAGCTTGCTCGTGGGCTAAGGTTTCCTGCCTTCTTCTATTAAAAGTGAATATTTATCTTTGATTGGCTCCATCTGGTCAGTCATATATGAGGGTCTTAATGGGGTTAACCGATAGGCGTAAAACGGCCAAAAATTTAGTCGATAGCCGTAAAAATTGAAAAATTTTAACCGTTAGCCGTAAATAGGGTAAAAAAAGTTAACCGTAAAAGAAATTGTTCCCTAGATTTGCTACTTTTAAGGAAGGTACTAAACTCACTTATGGTTGCGCCTTTATTTCGCGGCTAGTTTGGCTCCGTACGCACGTTAGGTAAAGCGCCTTTTAGGTGAAGACCAAGACCCATTTTCATTTCGGCCGCTCTCTCGGAGAACTTTTTTTTTTTTCTATAGCGAAAGTGTGGCTTCTTGCTGGGGATTAAGGAGGTCGTGCCCTCGAAACATTAGTGAAACAACACGAAGAGATCTCACTGTTTGTAAAACAAGTTGCCGATAAACAACATTTCCCTGTTTTTCTCTGACGCTACGGTAGACATTGCCATGCCGAGTCCCTGTACGGCGTCTTCCCACGCAATATCGGTCAAGGCATTTCGGTGGCGAACTCGCTCGGACCACGTGACCCGAAACGCATTAGCCGCGCGAAATAATAAGGCCTACGGACAAGGCAAAACGGCTGACATGCAGTGGTTCCGTACAGTCCTTCGCTACCATTAAAAACACTGGACACGGGAATTTTGTTATTGGCCGTTTTCACACTAGAGCTAGAAACGGATTATCCGTCTGAGACTAGCCTGTGTACAGTCGCCCCCTTCCCGACAGACACCCGCCTCTCCGATTTTTTTTTCTGAGGGGAAGGGGCGGTTGTACACAGGCTATCTGCAACGGATAATCCCGTCTTCAAACTGTCCGTCGAAGTTGAAGGATAAAGTCAGGCGGATTGTTCACGCAAAATTAAAACTATTCCATTACCTATCTGAAGCGAATCATCAAACGGATAACCCGTCTCACACGAATAATCCGTCTTTAGTGTGAAAACAGCCATTTCTTTCTCTAATGAATGTCGCGCCCCGGCCTTGAGTTAGGCGTTCGCGTGTGTGCTTTGCTTTTTCACAAAGATTATTTTTAAATTGACTATTGACATTTTTATGTGTAAAATAATATTAGAAGTGGAATACTTTATAAAAAGTATGATCTATCAAATGTTGAAATTTTTCAAAAGAATAGCTTATTTCATATCCCGAGATGATCCTAAGACCTTTATTTTGCTTTAAAGATACAAAAAATACAGGTTAATTAATATTTAACTTTTTGAAACAAAAGAAGTTAATTTTTAACTTTTTTGTTAACCGTAACTGAAAAAAATTAGCCGATAGCCGTAAAAAAGCCAAAATTTTAGCCGATAACCGTAAATGCCACCACCCCATTGAGACCCTCATATATGACTGCAAAACGACCTCACGTGACATATGACCGAATTACCTGATTCCTGGTGTTATAACTGAATTTCAAATGACACTAAGCAGGGCCGTAGCAAGTCGTTAGAAACTAGAGGGACACAAAGATTTTAGGTAGCTTGTTGTATTTGAAAAGCAGAGGGTTTTTTCACCTAGCTGGAGAGACATCATTGTTTCAATGCTCTGTGAGATGCAGAATTTTTATTTTCAACTTTTATGCGTGCATGTTTTGACTTTTTTGGGGCAAAAAAACTGGGGGGGGGCACGATCTCCCGGCTCCTCCCCAAGTACCGCCCTGCTAAGAGGTCAAAGTTAGAATTTATGACGATATATATGAGAGAATTGCAGCTTTTAGTATGGACTCTGATCTGGTATTCCACCGCGTGTGTGAATGTGGAGATAAGCTGTGGTGCAGTGCCGGGCCTACCATTTCCACACGAGTGGAAATCTTGTGTATAAACACAAAGCTATATAACTTTGACGTGGTGGAAGAACGAACCGCTACAAAGTATATCCAAATCAGCTGAACAGACTAAAAAGAGTAGAAAAATTTCATCACCTCAAATCACAGCCCATGTTTTCTGAAAATTCGCAAACGGAATCAGCGCCAACCATTTGATTTTCCACTCTGAATTTCCAGTTTTCCCATGTAAATGGTAATCACTCAAGGTCTTCTTTTTAAGCCTTTTGTACGTTTAGAAGGAAGATGAAGATTGTTGATACAGGGGCACCCAATGGATCTGTTCCTCAAAATATCTGTTCTTCAGGCACATTTTTGCTGGCTGGGAGATGTGAAAGAAATAATAGTCCTTGGAAGGAAAGTGTTGCTGAGAAAAAGATAATTCAGGGTGTCAGAAGGGATTTGAAGTCTAGAATAGCTGCTACGGGTTACATGTATGGGTTACTTACCACTCAAGATCTGAATTGTGCCCTATGAAACTTCACAGTAAGTCAGGTTGCAGGTTGTAAGGTTGCTGGCTGGGAACTCTTCCATCAGTCTTGCTGGGAGTGAGGAACAGATAATTTTTTTCCAGCAGTCTCCCAAAATGCTTAAAATAGAGTCAGAAAACTTTATTCACGCTTTGTTGTTGTTTTTAGGTCTTTTTCTCAAAATTTCCCGTTGGGTGCCCCTGTTGATAAACACTAAGTAAAATCAACTAAACACAATCCATTTTGCCGAGTCCTACTCTCTTTAGTTTCCTGTTCTGGAAAGATTTGAACGATTAATCACTCCATCGTCCCACCAAAGGGAATTCAAGACAGTCTTGGATTCCGGATTCAACTGAAACTGGATTCCAGACTTTTTAGTGGAAAGTGGATTCTGGATTTTAATACTTAGTGGGATTCCGGATTCCTTGAGCTGTATTCCGGATTCCAAAGCCCAGGATTCCGGATTCCACAAGCAAAAATTTCTCGGATTCACTCACATTCGGGACACGTACGATTACGTTTGATTCTCGTAGACTAATAACTGCCGGCGCGTAGAGAAAAAAAGGTTAATTAAAGCTCGCCGCAAAGAAATTCGACCTCAAATGTTTACTATAGACAAAATTGATTCAAATCTTTTTGGGGAAATTCGATTATAGAGTTTTCAATCTTTGCATGATCCGCTCTTTCAAGCTTTCAAAACACAATCAATAATGACGAAACAAAGTGGTCCTATGGAAAAGATGAGAGAGCGAGCAAAGAGAACATTAAGGAGCTTTATCCCCCGGCTGTGGTCTCTTGAGCGAGCGCAATAATCACATTAAAAAGTCAATTTTCCGATTCTGTATTTGTGCGACAGAACTACGGGAAACAGCTTTCAATGTTCAAAAAATAAATGAATTTGACGGCCAAATAAATTCTGTATACAACCAGCTGATTTTTTGCCATAAAAACGAAATTAATCTTCATTACCATGTTTCCTAAACTTTCAAACAATTAGGTCTCTTTATAGAAACCGTAGCGGGGAGAAATTAAAATAATTATCTTTTTTATTCACCAGTAGGGCTTCTCCTTAAAGGGTCGATTCTTCACAGTTGTAACATACAAGGTCTTTTTTAAATACTTTTAGCCGATCTGAGGTTAATAAAACCTAGCAACGTGCCACTACTCGCCGCGGGCAAACTGATGGCAGTTCCCTTTCCAATAAACTTTGGGACTTTGGAAAAGATGTCACAAGGTGGGTAGTTTTTGATGCATGAGCGCCTTTTGTTTTTTGTTAGTGGTTTCTTCCATGCACTCCTGCTTTCTTCGCCTCATTCTTGAGTGCACCAGTTTAATTTTAGGGTAAAACCAATAACAGCATCATTGTTTTAGAGCCTCGCAGACAAAAGAATTACCTCACGGATCCGATTTGCAAGTAAAATAAATTTTATGTCCTTGTCATCCTAACTTCAATGTGTATTTGTAGTCCATTCACAATGTTTGCATTTTTCAGTGACTCAGTTACCTCAAAAATCAAGGTTTTTGTGAACCCTTAAAGAACTTATCATTTCGACACAAGGAATGATTGACCTTTTGTATGCATGGCAATAATTTGATAAAAGCTCCATTGTAAATTGTGTACATTAATCGTATATACGCTTTCTTTGTGATAGTGAAAAGCTTACATGTTTAGGCTTAGATATACTATGGACATTTTTTGTCTGCTCATTTCCTAATTCGAGTAAATATTGTCAACTAGAATCTGCTGTTTGCCTTTTGCTGTAAACGTTATTTTAAATCTTTCCATGAGCCTCTCGTAAGACTGTTTTCCCGAGAGGTTATTTTGATTTTTAGAGTGATTTTACTTAACCGTCGAAATTAACACTATGTATAATTAGTGCCAAATACCAAATATATCCCAACCTCGTTCCCACGGTTCTCTCCTACCCGTCTCTGCGGAGCGAGAGAGAGAGTCGGGTAGGAGAGAGAACCTGGGAACGAGGTTGATACTCCGGGATTCCGGAATCTGGGACATTTTTTTCTCGTGGAATCCGGAATCCCACTAACGATTACAATCCGTGATCCAAGGTCCACCGACAAAGACCGGAGTCCATTAAATGGAATCCAGAATCCAAGAATGCCTTGATGGATTGCCTTGTATAGGGCGAAAAACAAAAAGTAATGAAATTATAGTGTGATACTGCGTATTAGTCCAGTACCTATTTTACTCTGTTAGGTAAGATCATTGTAGTAAAATTATTTTGAGCTTGTACCTCTTAATTAATTTCAGTAATTTGACGTCACATTTTGGCAATATTTGCTTTGGTGACCGCCAGTTGGTATGTCATAAAATGTGACGTCATAAGAAGCATTTGAACAAAAATGAGACTCCATCTCACTCTTTAGGGTAAAAAAGCAGAGAAATTTTCCGAAACAGAGCAAAGTATTTAATTATAACGTTTTTATATCCTCAAGCATGAAAGATTCTTCGCTTTTTAAGCTCTTAGCAAAATGCTGGAGGCAATGAAAGATGGTCGCAATTTGGAATGACGTCAATGGTCTGAAGTAGAGTCATATCTCATTTTTTAATAACTTTATTTAACGAGGGTAAAGACATTGATTACTGGTCACCCAGTAGTTTTCATAATGGCCCTCCTACAATTAAAGTAATAAAAGTATCGATTATTTAATTAACTACCAATATAATCTACCAACTAAAATTACATAATAAACTACTATTAATACAATATTGATTAATTGACTACTAATGAAACTAAAAGGTTTTACAAATCTTAAAATGATCAAGAGAAGAAATCAAACTACGGTAAAGTTTAAATTAGTAATTTTTAAAATTAGTATGGGAGAGTGTCTTAGGTTCGGGATCAAGAGCGTTCCACAAACGGCAAGCGCTTGATTGAAACGTTCGAAGGCCAGAGTTCCTTTTACAAGCTGGTGTTGTAATATTGTTATTGGAAACGGATCTCGTGTTATGATTATGGGTGTTACTTATATGTTCAATATATTTATTAAAATAAGCCGGGCAATGTCCTTGATTTATTTTATGAAGCATATAAAGCTTCCTGATACGTATAATATCATCTATAGGCAGCCAATCTAATTTGTTAAAAAGCTTGACGGAATGTTATTAGTGTAGACCCTCTTACAGGGTCTTAGAATCTTAAGTAAATTGTCAATCTTTTCACAACTGTTTAAACACTCTGGGAGTTTTAAACCTTCATCCCATTTGGGTACGTTTTCTTTTGAGTTTCGAGAATCATGAAAGGTATATATGTCGATGAGCAAATTAAACGAATACTTTGTATTAAGTTTAAATTTGTAACTATGTTTTTCCGCTTTCTTCATTTCAGCATCGAGGTTTTATAAAATATTTTCGTTCTAGTTTTTGTCCTCTTTTTCCTAATGGTGCTAGAGCAATAGATATTTTGAGTTGTTGCAATGCTACAATGTTAAATTTCGTTAATGTTCACTGTCTGTAAAGTTATACAAATTTGTTGTAAAATAAAAACATTTTTATCTTTTGTTGTGGTTGATTTTCATTTTGGCGGCCCTCACGTTTGATTACCAGACCTGTTTCAAGGAGAAATTACGTTCTGGTTGCTCGCTCTAAAGGATTACAGAGTTTTAGCGTCCTAATATATTAAGAAAGGACAGGTGGAAATAAGATATGAAACGCGACACCCTGGCTTTCAGCAGCAATTTAAATTTATCATTCCACGTTGAATAAAAATAAAATGTATGCAATAATGTTTTTACGTTAGCCTCGTCTCATATAAATTACAAATTGCAACGTCATTACACCCGTCTGGAGCTAAAATGGGACAGCCCGACAAAAGCACAAAGGCATAAAACCTCAAAATAAGGTTATATTATTCACGTTGCCATGTTGACAAAAAGAACTCATGTCTTGCATTTTGAAATTGAATATCCGACTAATCTACTGCCTGTCATCCTTTTTCGATTTTATTTCGTTGTTTATGAAAACGTGTTCGTTTTGGGCGTATTGCAACCTATCAGTGTCTCCAATTGACCTTTACCAAATAATGACGGATTTTCTGAACTTGAAATTAAGGTCACTAATATGGCGGAGATGCTGAATAGAACACAATGAAAAAGCTTCATTTATTTTCAGGCAATGAAACGGTCACCAAAAGAAATGATTGACAAGTGTTGACTACAAGACACATAGCGGTTTAAATGAGCTTAAGAAGTAGAAAACAGTGGTTTAGGGTGTCTTGCGATTTAAAACTGTGTTTTGTGCTAAAGGCGAATGTATATTTTATAAAGACGAACAATCCGAGAAAAGGAAATCTAGATTTGCAATAAAAGATTTTTAAAAATACCAATCAAACAAAACTTGATTCTTCGAAAAAAAAAACCATCTGGCAGTTCGCATTTGAATTGCTTAAACTGAATCTAAAAAGAAAAAAATCTTTCAGTGGGAATCTAATTTTTGCGCTGTCGTTGCATTCAAGCGCTCTTATTTATTTTCCATTGCGACCGTTTCCAAGAACAAATTTACATAACACCATTTGGGTCCTTTTTGAATGTTAATATGAATTTTAACCATTCAGAGGAGAGCGATTCGTCAACTGATGCGAAATTCTCAGCATTCGCATGGCTGATTGGCTGAGAACTGACACTAGCGTGCGAGAAACCATTCTTGTAGTAATAAAATGACTCGAGCGATCCTCTCCGACGTGCGTTTTTATTAAACTTTCTAATTGGCAATCACCCAATAGCATCATGAATATTAATACTACTGCAGGTGGAAGGAGAATGTGAGTGTTTTGTAATATCACCCCACAAATTGCTTATCCTAACCTATCCTGTGTGAGAACCACTTTTTCCTCGGCAACGTTTATCAAAACAGAGCAACATTAAAAATTAGAAGATGATATTCCTGGGCGAAAGTAGAAGAGGCCCAGAGGAGACCATCGAATAAAAAGTTTGTCAAAATAGACAAAAAACGGAGAGAGGAAAATACGCGGATTTCAATTTACAACCCGAAGCTTCGCGGTGTGTTTATATTTGAAATTACCATACGAAGTTTGTGCAAGCGTGGTATACCAATCGTCGTCGTCTTTTGGGGCTTCTTTCTGCGGTTAAAGATGTTACATTTTGAGCTAATGCTTGGTCAAAGCCAACCATAAATAAACTACGTTATCTGTATCTTATCGGGGGAGCCACGAGGCAGAAGGAAGTATGATAATGCGGAAAGGCGAAAGTAAATGAAATATGTCCGAGGAAACGGAGGAAAATCTACAAGCTCTTAGGAAACGGGATCGCATTATTATTAATTGCGGTGGGGTCCGCCATGAAACATACAGGAGTACTCTTCGAAACTTTCCGAGCACTCGGCTCGCCTGGTGCACCGAAAACGTTCAAAATATTGCCAATGATTACGATCCTGACAAGAACGAAGTTTTTTTCGATCGCCATCCAGGAGTATTCGCAGCCATAATAAACTACTACCGTACCGGCAAGTTGCATAGTCCGCATGATGTCTGTGGTCCTTTATTTGAAGAGGAGCTCGCTTTTTGGGGAATCGATGAAAAACAGATGGAGCCCTGTTGTTGGACGTATTATACGCAACATAGAGAGGCGCAGGAGAACTTAAAATTCTTTGAAGCGGCGGAGATGTCGGCTGAAGAAGATTACGACCACGACTCAGAGCTTGGTGATGTAATGTCGGATAGTCAAGTTGAGAATTTAGGTGGTGAGGAATCATGTTGGCAGAAATATAAACCAAGGATTTGGAAAGTATTGGAACACCAACGATCGTCTAGATTGGCAAAAGTAAGTTAAACCATAAGTAAAACTAGAGAATGATGTATTGTAAAAGTGAACCCCATTACAGACAGTTATGATTTAGTGTTTAACGATCGGACTCTTTCAGTTTTTCTCTGCCTTAAAAAAATGGCATTTGTTTATGCGTTAATTCGAGGTATCGCGTTGTTAAAAGAAATGGCATCTCCAGTTTTAAAAATAAATGGGGAAGATTTAGGGAACTTAAGTTGGTTTGGCGTCATGATTTCATACGGCTATTTAGGAACGATTGAGAAAATTATGTTGTTGATCGATAGCCAGGAAGTTAACTGAGGATACACAGCCTGAGGACTGAGTAAAAGAAGATCAAATTCACCATGATTCTTAAACATATTTTCAGTAAAAAATGTTTCAGTCTCTAGTTATTCTGTTGGTTTTTAGAAAAAGCTGAATTGCCATAAAATTGGGCAGTTCAATGGCTCCTAATAATTGTCCATTTTACGAGCGGTAATATTTTTTCTGTTTTGTTATGACTTCACTAAAACATCTGTTCGTCATTCGCTTTTATAATTTTATAAACGTATCGCTGTTGATCTTGAGTTACCTTTAAATATTTTTTTTAAAATCTGCATACCCAAAGCTTACACCAAGAGCTTAAACATTTATGTTTAAATTAATGTCTTATAAACTGTACACGCACTTTAAAATAACTTAGAAGTTGAGGGAGAGATCCACTGCGGCTTAAATGTGATATGTTCAGTGTTCGCTGTTTTGTTTTGGCCGGTGATAGTATTTATTCCTGTACGGCTGTACATATGTTTTTTTTTGCTTGTATGAACATAAATGTGCACGAAAAGTATAACCAATGTCAATTCAAATGATTCAATTGTTATAACAAACAAGAGGTATAATTCAACTTAACAGATTGTGTTTTTTTTTTGTTGCTGTACTCAAAGTGCTCTTTCTGAACTGAGATTGATTCTTACCCTTAAAGCCTTGTTCAAAACCAATTAAGTGCAACTCGCATTGAGCTTATTTTCTATCAGAAGCAAAAAAAATTAAAGAAATTAATTTTTCATTCCGAAAAGATAAATAGTTTAAAAAGGGCGGTCTTCATGACTACCTCTGATTCTTACAGACACGGCTCACGGATTCTAAGGTTTATGAGATAAGGCGTTATTGCATGTTCATGCGATACCACATTTATATTTGTCTAAATTTAATTCGAAGAAAGGAGTTTGGAAAAGACGTGCACGTTACTTCTTTGAGAAATGAATACAAACATGAA